TTAGGCCTTAAGCCACTTGCAAGTACACATGAGAAAAGAAATATTGCTAACTACAGAATGAATACACACAGCTATTATAAAATAGCATAAATTATAATTATAGATATTTATCTCAAGAAGTTCAGAAATCAGTCACCAAACGATCAAAATCTAAGTCCCTGTGGGACACGATGATTCGTCTGTCACATTGCCTCCCTGCTGTATTCCCCACACAGACGGCATCTCTTAACAGCAGAGCTGCTGAAGTATATTTAGTCACACTCTGAATATTTAAACCACTCTCTTTTCACTGTTGCTATAGCGATATTCAGTCTAAGCTGAGCTTTGTTTGAGGTATGTAGTTGTGTGGGCGGCACACTAAGTGATATGACTTTTTAATTGTGAAATTGTTTGTCAGCTGTCTCTCTACAGTAAATCAGTGGAAGTAGATGCAGATCACTTAATCAATGCAGCTCTATGACTCGATAGCTCAAGTGAGTGGTGCTGAAAATTTAGAGAGAATAAATAGTGCATTGTGTTTTTGTTATCATTACAACCCAGGGTATGTTCTTCTTCATGGCATCAAAATAACTCAAACAAACTGTACGTGTAAATCATGTACAGTTCATGTAGCGACAGCTGTGTGTATTATTCGACAGCTGCAGAGCTCATTGTGCTGTTTCGTTTAACTCCCCGAGCATTACAGTCCAGAGATAATGTACCAGCAGGTACTGTTGCTTTATGGCAAACTCTCAGTGTTTTTGTTTCATGAAGCAGTTACCCACAAAGCATCTGTGATAGATGCTTTTGTCTACCTCTCTGCAGGCCAGCGTCAGCTGCATGTTTGCTCCATCCACACCACCATGCTGGTTCAAAGAGCAAACTGTTGTGTGAATGAGTGATCGGGCTTAGTCATTCATATGCTGATGATGGATCCGTGTTCCCATTGTTTACTGCCGTGTATCTGGAAAGGGGAGGCGGTCGGTGAATTCCTCTTCCGCTAAAAACAACAAGTGGAGGTTCCTGTACCAGAGATATCCTGTCAGTTTTTGCATGGAGGGAAAGTAGGAGAGATGATCTAGATAATGTTTTGGTTTATGTATCAGTTTTTTCTCTCTCTCTCTCTCTCTTACTTTTCTTCAGTTGTAGCATTTGTTGCTCAACTGCAGCTCTTAATTATTAAAGGTATTGCACCTCAGGCAACCTTTAAAAAAACTTACTGTTATTTTTTATGTATCTAATATTTGGGTTAACTCCCAGCCCCTTTGCCTGAAGACACTGATCGAAAGATTTAACTTTTTATTCATGTAATTAATGAATGACCTCACAGGGCCTGGACTTAACCCGACACTATCCCTCAACCCCACCCAGTCTCGCACCTTTTGACCCTGACCTACTGTGTGTGTGTGTGTGTGTGTGTGTGTGTGTGTGTGTGTGTGTGTGTGTGTGTGTGTGTGTGTGTGTGTGTGTGTGTGCTTTTCAGCATATGATGAAAGCTGATTGGAAAAGGACATCACTGTCACACCATTTGAAGATGGCCTGTGTCTTGTGCAGTACATTGTGTACATGAGAACATGCAGTGGTGGTGGATGCAGTAACTGAAGAGTTGGGAACACAGTGCTACATATGGTGGAATGATGGCAAGGTTGTTAGAAAATAGTGATTGGCTATGCATTTCTGGGTAGCATGTTCAGACGGGAGGTTGTTGAAGACCTTAAGCTTTTGCCACAAGGTGCAGCAGTCCCAAGTTCAAATGCAAACTCAGTAATATCTGTTACTATTCTATAAATAGATTTGCTGCTCATTTCTTAAAAACTGGCATCCATGTTGTTAATAACAAACACATTCTTAATATATCCAACTGTTGGATCAGCATAAAGCACAACAAACTTGCACATTTTCATACACTCTAAACTCTGCTACTGAGAAATGTTGACCCTCTTTGTCAGGTTGCACCTCCCATGATTGCACCCGTCATGGTTGATAGTTGTCAACAGCATGTGGAAAGATAGCCTACTGATTATAAGCTTTGAGCCTAATTACCATACCATGTATTGTCACCTCTCCCAGTCAAGTTGCACATGGTGCACATACACAATCTATAGAAACGACAGTGCTAAAACAGGAGTCTAATTATTATTTATTTATAATTGTTGTTACTTTTGTTTTCATAATTTAAAATGTTAGAGTCCTGCCTTCACTGCAGTACGTATTGATGCTAACTCACAGTTCAGGCAGATGGACCAATAGAAGTCCCTATGGCCATAAGGTCACAGTCAGAAAAAGGACCTGCACCTGCACCACCTTGGTATTTTAACTGGCATGCTACCACAATCACTTAAGTACCTAACTTTAATTCATGATTTTTTAAATACACGTGCCTATATGCTGGATTAAAACGTGCGTCTGCTTTCATCAGGGTGCCTCTTATGGTAAATTTATGAAAAATATACTATTGAGTGCACAAAATGTTCTCCTCACGTGGCCTTGTTTCTAGGATTTTTTCATTTTAGACGGATGAGAACAGCCCCAAAAGCTGCTCCCAAGAGTAAACTGATGACCTTGGACAGGACATTCAGAATGGCCACAAGCAAATGTACAGCATGTTTAATAAGCCACGAACAGCATATGATGATGAAATTATCCTGGAAGGAGATAACACATTTTATTAATGTGTTTCTCTGACCGAGGAGAACTGTGACCCAGAGTAGGAAATGATTCAGCGACAATGGACAAACTGAACCGGAGGGTTTCCACCAGCCAGTACCTGACGTGTAGAATGATGAGATGTGGCCACAGTTCGCTCTCTTGTGTCCTGCTGCGTAGTGACCACTACTGAATGGCAGTCACTCATCATATGTCAAAAGATAAGCTGACTATTGTGGATGTCTCCAAAGAGGTGTATCTCTTTGCAACATATCCTGATTTTAACAGTTCTCAAACTTACTTTCAGGGCTGCATCTAATGTGTTGCTATGGAAACAGCCAATAGCCTGCAGGGTTTTTCCGCAGTGTTTTAAAGTGGAGGCAGGCAGCCGCGCCTGAAATAAAGACCTCCTCTGCTTACGTCATAAAAAATGAATATACTTATGAATTAAAAAATGAACATCCAAGGAGAAAGCACAGGTACTATTTCACACAACAAATGCCATATATTTAATGATTAATGTGGATGTTCTTTAGGACCTCATCCACTAACAAAATCTATCACAAGATGAGACGCGGCAGGATCTGGGCGGCTCATCACCTCTCCTTAACGTATTTTCTTGCCTGCTTCGTTTGTCTGACAACTTGCATTGGCAGTGTATGTTTGTGTGAAACCCAGACAGTCTCCTGGTTCAGACAGAGATTATCATGCATGCTGAATATCAATGCACTCTGCTTCCTACCATCTTAGTGCGCATGTGTTTGCCCTGATGGATGACATACACCACTTGAAAATCAAGAAATTAATACAAAATACATGAAAACTGTGCCTAAGATACAGTAATTACGGCTAAATAGAAGCGCAGTGCTCTGCACTAAAGAGTCGTCCTGCAAATTTACTCTTAATCAGGTCAGTAGGGACTAATCAGTTGTCAGTACAGAGTACACATTGTACAGCACAGTCAAAATGATCATCCCCTGAATAGCAAACCATTTGGTAATCATATAAATTGATGTCAGAGGCACCATAATATACCAGACGTGCATTATCTGTCCCACTGCATTAACCAGCTGTGAGGGCTCTGTGTTGCCTTTTAAAATCAAACAGCTACTGGTATGTCAGACCCTGACAGTGGGACAGAAGCTGTCAACGCTGCTCTTTATGATTCAGTGCTCTAAGCTGCAATGAAGTCTAGAATGTAACAGTAGATCAGTAATTCATGGCCACTAACAGCGGCCATTGGCTGGCAGTGACGCAATGGCTTGCATAATGCCATGTCAAGTAACGGAGCCTGGCGGGCGCACTGCCACACAGATCACTTACAGACGCTTTTGTTAGCTTCTGTCATTTTGAGGAGAAGGCTTCTTGCTAAGCCACTGGTGTGTGTGTGTGTGTGTGTGTGTGTGTGTGTGTGTGTGTGTGTGTGTGTGTGTGTGTGTGTGTGTGTGTGTGTGTGTGTGTAATAGAAGAGAGAGTGTCTAGTGGTGGATCAGAAAGGCTACCTGATAGTAACTTAGTGTAAAATGAAAGAACAGGGACTACCTGTCCTTCCACTTGGCTGGAGAGCTGTTAGTGGAGGTATTAAAGCAAATCCCCATGTAAAAGTCAACACGTACCATAATTTTAGATAACAGAATCACATACTATAGGCCTGCTTTAACAGCTAGAATGATGCTTTCCACCTGGTGCTGTATCTTTGATCATTTAATCTCCCAGGCTTTGCTGCAAGCATGGAAACAGTTTTAGTCTTTCAGGGAAAAAGATCTTTGATTATCACATGGCCTCATATTTTACAGGATTTGAAAGAAACCGCTCAATAAATGTCAGGGCCGAGGCAATTTAGGTTGGTTGTTTTTCCAGACTCAGTAAATTTCTTAATAGAATTGAGAGTGGGCTCAAAAACAAACGTATCAATTTCACTGCTGCTTTCAAAGTGCGGCATTAGTGAGAGAATCCTCAGGTCATGTGTGTAAAGGTGTCTTTCTACCTATGTTTCCCTCACTGCTGCTGCTGCTGCTGCTGCTGCTGCTGTTGTTGTTGTTGTTGTTGTTGTTGTTGTTGGTTTCCCTTATTAGCTCAGCTGTTATTAGTCAGGTTAGCACATGGTGCTTCAAGCCTGTTAAGCCACATGTGATGTAAGTCTGAGGACCCTGTGTGTGCTGTGCTGCTGTCCATACTCACCTTTAAACTTATGGCACTACAATGCATGGTGCTTACACTGATTTATCCAAGCAGTGTTTGTATGATTTCTGTGATGCACTTTTGTCTTTTTACAGGCTAGACTCTATATTTCATGTTAGATTGAAAGTGCAGTAACAATTAAAATGATGAAGTAGATATTTTCCTTATCACTCTTTCTTTTTCTTTCCTTTTAGCACTGCCAGTAACTCAAACAAGAGCACACCTGCCTGCTCACCAGTCCTACGTAAACGCTCGCGCTCTCCCACACCGCAGACCCAGGAGGGTGAGAACATGGTGGAGAAGGGTTCAGACCACTCCTCTGACAAGTCCCCCTCCACGCCTGAGCAGGTTGTCCAGAGAACATACTCCCTGCAGTCAGCACGAAGCGGGGGAAAGAACTCAAAGGTGAGTGACCAGGAGATGCCCCATTAACTTCTTTTGAGTGCCTTTTTTGATACAAACGAAAGTTAGCCTCACAGTTTGAAGTGTGGTGCAGTTTCAAATATGTTTAGTATCTTAGTATCTCTCAGTATTTTGAATTCGAACATTCCACATAAGGTTCACAGCTCTGTCAAGAACGCTCAACAGTGTGTCCTTTCCACTGAAAAGAGTCTGCGCTGTGTAGAGAGCTTCCTGGTGGAGAACCCTAACATTTTCACAGAACGGCTGTCATGAGAGATCCCACCGTGGGACACTAGGTGCTGATTTCACAGACATGGATTAAGAGTAGACTCATCACTTCTTTGACACTATGAGTTAACTCTGACCATAAAACCAGCATTACAACTGATTACACTTGTTACATGCACTTAGATGCAATTAGTAAAAAAGCATCAAAGTGAGGGTGCAACCAGTGGAAATGTTTTTTTTTTTTTTCCAAGTAAGAATATGACATGTTATCTTTCTTGCATTGGATTATATATTGTATTGAGTGAAGTCTTTCTGACTGTTATAGCCGAGATGATGTGTAAACTCTTGTTGACTGTATGCAGCCAGTCATTAACTGTGACTGCATAAATACGTCACAGTTGTCTTGGCTTTATGATTTTTTTTTTTTTTTCCCCAGTGTGGTGACGTATGTGTTATTATTGGTTATTGACTTGTACATACTGATATGTAACTAGTGAGCTGTAACTATCACTCTCCCGCCTCAGGAGAGATTGCACCCTCCTCTCCATTCCAGCCTTTCATTTTTACATCTCATTTACTCCCCAGTATGTAAACTCTTTATTTCTCTCGCTAAAACTTCAATTGAATAATAGAAAGGACAGAGGAGTATTGAAATGCTGCTGTTCAGTCTTATCTTCAGACCTGTAATTAATTAGTAAAAGCCTGTTTTACCCCTTCACAGAGCGGAGTTTGTCTGAGTTGTCCCACACGATGAATTCAAGCATAGATAAAGAGTCACATCGTCAAAACCATGGGCACTTGTTTACTCACTATTGAGATTTGCTAGAATTAGATGTCTAAACTAGAAGAAGAAGAAGCTCTGAACTCATATTAATGCTTCAGCAGACAGGACCAGGCAGGGATACAGTTTGGTCCCCACTGTCATAGTTAAGGCTTTAAATGAGGTGCAGCAGCTAACAGCAGCAGTATGTCTTCATCAAAGTACTACAACATCAGAGCTGCTCCGATGAAGACATGCTAGCTGTGGAAAGTTTAGTTTCTGCTGCTTGTAAAAACCTACCATACCAACTAAAACCATGTGCTCCACACCAAATCCCTCCTAAACTAGTGATATGTGTTACCTCAATAAAGATAGTTTTGTTTTAGACTATTTTAGTTTGTTCACCTGTTAGATGGGTCTGCCTACACACTTATGAACAGAATTTTCAGAAGACACTATGCATAGACAGATTATGACTGTTCGTCCAGGTAGGATGGATCATTTTAGGATCTAACATTATATCATTGGCATCTTTTTTTCCTCCTGATTCTAGGATTGTTTTTGGACATTCAAGACATGAATTTGGCCTAAAGATGTGATGAGAATGGTGTGGGGGTTCGTGTTAAAAGCATAAGTTCATGTGTTTTTACGTCGGGCAGTACTCAGGTGCTCATATGAACACTGAAACAGGCTTTACTTGCTGTAATCTTTCCTCCTGTTGTTACTGGCCATCAGTTGATCCTTTCGTACTGTGATGGGGACAAAATTCCCTGTTTAGCTGAAGCTAATATGAAGTAGTCTGGGGTAAACAGATTAAGTGAGTATCTTTGTATCTTGTATCTTGTCTTTTTACTTACTACTAAATGTCCTTTGTGATACTGTCTGTCTGTCACAGCTCAGCAAGGAAACACTGTCCAGGGAACCTAAAAGAAGGAATTTGGTGTTAAAAAGACCCTAACATTGGAAGATTTGTCTCACTCAGAATGCTGACGCGCAGTATTAGCCACAGATAAACTTCACAATGCTTTTTTTTTTTTTTTTTTTGCAAAGAACGAGATTTGTAGATTTTCTCCCCTCCCCCATTCCTTACATTGACAGTGCAGTAGAAGGAAAGCAAGCAAAACCTCTTTCAATTTACATATATGCATATGAGTATCGTTTTAAGACGGACTTGAACAAATATGAACCTATCCTTTAACAGCAAGTTTGAGAACGTATTGTCATTGGCAGAGGTTTACTGTGTTGAGAGTGTTTTCTGGTTACTAAATAAAAACAGTATTGATTGTTGCTTGTGTTATATATATATATATATTATTTATATATAGTTATATATATACTGTATATTATGAAAGTGTTAGGCAGAAAAAGCTCTAGTGTGGAAGTGTAGGAGGACAACAGAAGGAACAGACTTGCATCTGTGGTCATCAAAATGGCACGAAGGTTTAAAAACCAGTTTTTAGGTGTTATTTAGGTAATTCCATCGGCATCATCCCCCTTCACTACTGAAGCTGAAATTGAATCTTTCACACATTCAGGTTATCTCAAAGAAGGAGCATGTGGCTCTAATGTTTTGTAACGCTCAGCACTTATTTGAGCTCCCAAAATGTTAGAAATAAGCCATGACACTTCCTCCATCTTTTACCTCCTCATTCTGTCTTCATCTGTCTCTGCTGTTTTTAAATCACACATTGTTTTTGACTCTTTGTTTGAATCATTTTTTTTGTCTCCACAACACAGTGTGCACGCCCTCTCTCTCTCTCTCTCTCTCTCTCTCTCTGCTGCTGCTGCTACATGCCATGTGATAATGTGTGCCATCTGATAATGACTGTTCAGTTCTTCTGTTGGTACTCTCAGCTGTTTCTTCTTGCAGTTGATTTCTTTCTAGTTTCATTTTTCTATCTGATTTTTCTTTGTTCTTCTCCTGATTGCATGCTAGTCTCACAAGCGACTTTCCAAAGTAAGCATTACTCTTTTTTCTGTTCTTCAAATATTCCTGTGCCCAGCTCCCCCGTCCCTCCCCCCCTCCCTCCCCATGCCCCACCTCTTGTCTTGTGAGCTGCTCTGTGAAAATGTCCGAACCTTGTTTGCGATGCTTCACCCCGAACCCAGCCTGTTTCTGTGCACACTGCAACCATTACAAGCCCCATCTGCACTCACGATCACAGCAGATGGGCATTCCTTGAAACCGACGAGCCCACTCCGAACCTCACTCACTTCCTTTCCTTCTCCTCTCCTGTCCTTTCCTTTCCTTTCTGGTGATATGCAATGTGGCAGTTCCTGATTACACTTTCAAATATTAACCATTGTATACATAGTGCAAATAAATGTCACATCAGGATAGGCTGTTTTTTTGCTGTTCAAATGTAGCGAAATAAAAGAAAAAAATATAAAGGAAATTCACACATATATAATGGAGAAATGGAGCCTTATTTTCCAGATTGTGTCAAAGATTACAAGAATGAAAATGAACATTTATTTTGCAAATTCCAAAATAAACAACAGTGAAAATAATTGTCAAATTTCGTCTCTCTTCTCTGCTTCTTTTTTCCTACTTTGGCCTGTATCCTATCCCTCTCTTTACAAACTTATCCCGTTGTTACATTTTGGCAATGAGAGCTTTATATCTGCCGTGCTGTGTGACTGCCTGGCTGCAGAGGGATAAACGCTTAAAAATCCTGCCAGGATCCCGGTCCAAAGCTCCAGGACTACATCATTATTTGAGCTGACTCTCTGTTGCCACATGAGAGAATCCCCCCTGCTCTTTTTCTCGCACCATCATGAGCCCAAAATCCCCCCTCCCCTACTTGTAAATGCACTGCAGACTAGTGTCACGTTTTAGTGCATCGCCCATACTCTCGCTTCATTCATCTAATTTGCTACTTGTCAGACTTCATCCCACTTATTTTTTTATTTTTTTATTTTTTTTTGTCACACTTCAAATGTATTGCTGAGCATATAAGGAGTCTACATACAGGGTCTCATTTGTGTTATTATAGACAGAGACAGAAATAGGACAGACAGTGAAATGCATAGAGGTTTTTAAATGGGAGTTGGGTGTGAGGAGCAGCCTCATGATGCTCTATTTGCTGCTATGCAGTTGCACAAACTGTTTCACGCACATACGCACACATATCCCAATCGATTACATCACTCCTCACTTCTGTGCCACAGTTAACGTCCCCACCCCCCTCAATCCTCCTGCAAACACCACCACCGCCAACCCCCCACCCCCAGTGAGCCTCTGTGGTCAGCAGTGGTCACATGACCCCAGATGGCGTGAGGTCGTCCCAGCAACGTGAGCTTGATCATCCAAGCCCTAATGCAATCCAAATAAAAGAGTGCATTCAGCGAAAACAGTGCCACCGTACTACCTCTCTGCAGAAAGGGCCCAGTGATGATGACAGAGACAATGATACAGCAATAATCTACCAGGATTCTCATGTAACATATGAGCTACGTTTTGAATCAGATTGAGCAGCAGAGTAACATGTCCAATGTCAGCCCTCAGAAAATACTGCTACTTGGTCCCTCAGCTTCTTCTCTCTCATTCACTATTTCTTTGTGGTCTTGTTGCTCACTGCTTTGGTTAACATTTTGTTTTCTCTTTAATTTTCTTTCAGTATGACAGACTAAACCTGATTAAAGTAAGCATTTCTTCTTGTTTTCATTTGACCCATTGACAGTCCCCGCTGGCCCCCATTAAATCCCCCGGCCCTGCACTTCCTCTGTAGCTGTGCGACTGTAGGATCCCCTTTGATAGTCTCAGTCCCTCGTGTCCTTTCCAATGCTTTCCATCCCCTAAATTAATGTGAAAGGACAGTGGTTTGTCAACTGTGTAAAGCTGTTAATTTTTTAATTGTCTTTATGTTGAAGATTCTATATTATTTAAAGCCGGTTTGAATTTGACATTCGTAGCTCTTTTTTCTTCTTTTTTTTTTTAATCTGAAAACGGACGCCACCCTAGTATTTGCAGTGATAGGGCAGGTCAGTGGGGTTTAAAACCATCACGTGCACAATTTACTTTCTATATTAGTGCTTTCCAGCTTTTCTGTTGATTCATTTTGTAATAACAAGACAGCACCAGAAGTATTTTAAAGGGTCTGTTTGCCATCAGAACAGAGACACAGTTGATGTTTTAACCCTAAATTCACTTTTTGATTTAATGACAGATGTCCAAAGCAAAGATGTTAGTTGAAATTTGGTCTTTAATAATTCTTTTGAAGCCATGATTCCAGCAAAATTCAGTTTTGTAATTCACATCCCCGTTTGTGGTAAACGAAAGAATGTCGTTTAAAGTTATACAGACAGACCCAAACCACTGTATCAGTCACAGAGGAGTCATAGACAAAACTCTGGTTAACTTTCGGGTAGTCTCTCCCTCTCTCTCTCTCTGTCTCTCTCTTTCCCTCCCTCTCACATAAACAATCACAATAAACAGTCTTTCTCCGTGTAAAGAATGCCATAATAAATCTCACAAACTCACTAGCATGCAGTCACACAAAGTCAAACACAATGGCACACCACACGCATACACACACACACACACACACACACACGCACACCTTATCCAGACAGTGGCCTCAGAGTAATTCCTCTCTCATGTCTCTGTCACCTTCAAATCAGATTAGCCCACATTAGGCCAGCTATCGTTACAGCCAGGCCTCAGGCCTGCTACTGCAGCTCACTGCTCGCTAACACCACACACTCTAGAGCCCCTTTTACACTGGACTAAAAAACATGCTAACACCTGCTAACATCTGGCTTGTGAACCACAAAACCCTGTCAGACACACAGAAAACTCAGATGATCCCAGGCACAAAAGAAAAACTGAAATTATTGCAGGTTTTTGAAAGGAGAAATTTGTAATGAATAATGAGCTGTGATGCACATTATGAGGACACTGGTGAGGCTGATAATCCAGCAGGTCCAAGTAAAAACCTGTTTGAAACATATTGTCAGTCAGTCTTCAGTTCTATAGTCACTATTATCAGGTTAGCAAAAAAGCAGCAATGTTGAACAGTGGTCTTGTCGGGAAAGGACAACTATAACTCATCACAAAAAGATCTAAAATAGAAAAAAAAAATCTTTTGTTAATATTCTTTTTTTTTTTTTTGCTTTAACTTAAGATGTGGTGCTTTTATTTATTGTACAACTGTAATCAGACACTGGATATCACTTTTTGTCCCTCTCTCCCCCCTCTACCCCCCTCCTTCTTTCACCCTCTGAATGATCACCTGCATGTTTCCCCTGTGGGAATTTTGCTCATAGACTGTTAGAGCCGAAGGTGTGTATATGTGGCTGGAAAATGTTGTAATATCATAGTCATGATTAAGATATATCTCTGCTGCCCTCTGCTGTTATAAACCTGCAACAGACTCAATTGACTGTTCATGAAGAGCACACAGAATGATTCATTACAGGAAGTCAGGGCTAAAACATTTGGATATGAATATCAACAAACAACCATTATAATTCATTTAATATGGTATGGTGCATTAAATATTATCTTCACACCTTCATTCGAAACCAAAGCTAAGAGGAGAGAGAAGAGAGAAAATTCTTTGAATAATTTCACAGCACTGAATCATTTCTTAGGATGGAGATTTGGACATAATTTAATTTTAACTGTATATCTAATGTGCTAATGCAGTATTTGGCAGGTTTGAAGTGAAGAAGTGAAATTACTTTCAGTTCCGTCAATACAGGAAGCAGATTTTCCTCAGAAACCCTGTTATTTAGAAAGATTCCTATAGTTTAATAGTGAGTGAACTGAAAGAGAATTTCACCCCTCCGTTTACCTCAGACACACGTCACTGGTATTTAAAATAGTGTCGATAACGTCCTGTGATTTCTGACAGGAAGGGTTGTGAGGTACAGTTTGACCTTCACGCCTGCTGGTACTTGTTATGATCAGGTTGATCATGTTTCACACCCGCAGTATGGCTGTATGAGCCCACAAGCCTTCTGCAGCACTTACTAGCTTCACAGAGTTTAATACTTGTTCTTTCTCTCTCTCTCTCTCTCTCTCTCTCTCTCTCTCTCTCTCTCTCTCTCTTCCTCTCTCCCCTCTCTCTCTCTCTCTCTTTCTCTCTCCACAGAAAAGCCAAAGCTGGTACAACGTAAGTCATACCTTGTTTTTATTTACATTGACGTGTGATTTTTGTGCGTCTCTTATGGGTGTATACGTCTGCTTGTGTGTGTTCACGTCACGTGGGTGAGGTGACTCCTGGAAGGGTCCTCAAGTTGTTTTAGTGATGAGTGCTGCTTACGAGATGAAAGGTCATTGTCCTCAACCCTGTTTACTGGAGAACCAAATCACAAGTGTGGGTCACTGGTCCTCCAGGCGGGGATTAGCATGGGCTTAAAAGAGCAACAGGTGGACCTTTCTGATGCAGGCAATCGAGAGAATGGAAAGACTATCGTAGAACTTTCAATACTAGTTGTGATACTTAAAGTAATCTACCAAAGTTAATCCCTAATGGTACACACAGTGCACCAGAGTGTTGCAGTTTTATATTGCACCACTAGATGGAGTGCTAACACTGTTTCTGACCTTAGTATAATCCTCAGACGTAGTCACTCACTGAACAACCCCTTAATGACTTTCAACCAACATTTACACATTAAAGGAGCTTGTTGTGTTAGCTAAACCCACAGAGTGGGTAAGATAGAGGGTGTTGACCTTGACACCACTCAGTGTCAAACCCTAGTTTCTCCATAAGTGTCTTTATTGGACTTTTTTCCTATTTTATGTTGCTTTATTTCTTTTTTTTTTATTCCCTGTGTGTACACTCTTCCCTTTTCTCCCTAGCATGAAAGACAACACATCCTGAGAGTAAGCATGACTTGTATTCTTGTACAACCCTGAATATCTTTCAGTCTCTCTTGCTCTGTCTCTTGGTTCTCAGAGCGGTGGGATGATAATATCCCTCCTGCCTGCCTGTTCCTCATTCCATTGACTTCGCTCAGTGTTGTTACCACCAGATAGCAAAGCCACACTTTGGAGTGAAGTGATTCACACATGTTAAAGTTGACATACCTTACATTTATGTCTACCTAAAGCCCTAACAATTTCAATTACAGAACAATTCCCAGCTATTGCTTATTTGCTGCATCCGAACTTGTGTTAGACTGTATTTTACAAGTTGCTCAGATGTGGTCAAATGCCTGTCACCACACAAACTTCTAAATCTGGTACGCAACAGGTGGTAACAAGCACACTGAGTTTCTCACTGTACTAAACAAATCAACAAACCATCACAAGGGCCTCTGGACGAGCCTTGAATGCCTTTGAACAACAGAGGAATGGAGCATGGTGCTTTAGGTCTCAGCATGCTTCCCTCCAGTCCAACTGCGTTTCCCATTTCCCAACAAACATGGACACTGGAACACTTTTTAGGTTTTAGGGTTCAGGTAAGACAACATGAGGAAAATACACGGAGCTCCATTCAGATAATGAAAATGGAGAAATGCTGTTAAGTTCAAATGAGGCTTGGTCCAACAAGTCCATACAACTTCTTAAATCCTTCTCTAATCCTCTCAGCTATAATAAACCACTCACATTTTCTTTACTGACCCACTGTTTGAAAGGAGCACCATACATAACACTCTGACACTGCTAATGTCTAACAGATGAAAATGTCATGTTTACAGATGACATACAGCACAGTATACATGAAGTGTACAAGCAGTCAGGACCACCTGCTCTTATCATCAAATATACTGTAGACTTATGTTGCCCACCATTGAGTCCCAAAGTTTCGTTTTATTTAGGGATAAAGCAGGTGATATTCAAATTTTTTATTGTCAACAAATCTCATCATAAGACCATGAATTGATTCAAACTAACAAGCATTTCCTGTGTTTTTATTCCTCTGTGCCATAGAGTTCCACTGTTGTCCAAAAACTATAAAAAATAAAATCAGTGACATGTTCCTTAATTTCCATGAACACACACACTTCTTTATTTTGACTCAATCCCACATATAGCGTCCTGCTAACAGGAATAGTCACTACTGTAGCATATTGTGTGTCAATCCACAGCTGAATGTAGTTCCCAACAAGTGCACTTACCTCAGTTTGAGTAACATTTGCTAAATATAACAGTGCCCAGCTGTTAAACAAAGGCACTTAGCCTTTTCGTTTAAGTGAGACTATATAACCTTCGCACTGCGGCCACAAATGACAAGTGTGGGATGATGGTAAATACTAAAATATAGTTCAACAGGACTAGCAGTAGAGACTCTAATGTAATGTCAGCACAACAGTGTCTATTTAACATGAAATATTAACCAACATAAGCTACAGGTCATAGGCTACAGGACCAAGTGAGGCTGTAGGAGCAAAACTTTTGAATGTACTGAACTAAGTGAGTGTGTTACTTCTTGTGAATTGAACATTTTAGTTGGAATAGAATGGGATTTGTTTTTCTTTTCAAAGTTTACAGGTTCTCACTTAGAATGAAACGACAGTATACACGGTATACAGTATGTGACCTGTTTTAAAAGGTTCAACCCTCTCTTCAGTATGAATTAATGGGCCTGGGGCTAAATGGCACAGACAGACAGAGTAAATCATAAAATATTCGGGAAATGGCCTAACGTATTATTGATTTCTGTCTTTTTCATGGTATTTTTGTATAGAGTACCATCAGCTTCATCCATTAAAACAAGAGAAAAATAAACCTACCAGCTGGTTTACAGTTTTTCACTTGCTTCCAATGCGGCTTTCTCAAATCAAATCAAATCAAGTGATTTCAAGTGCTGTGAACTGTAATTATCAAACCACACTGACAGATTTTATTTTTGGTTTTAAGAAAATACTATTCAAGTACTTCAAATGAGACCAAAATTGGTTATTGAGATAGATGGGGTTTTTTTCCGTGTAGCACTTTGAATAAGGGACTGTTGGGTCACAATGGATTTGTAATGGTGAATGTACTGTGCTTTCTGAATGTATTTTAGTCTTAAAGGAAAAATGTTCATCTCAGTATTGGGGCTGTGTTCCTGATATCTTGTACACTCATCCTTAATCATAGAACAAACACAGCAGAACAATCAGTCAGTGAAATAGTTTCAATCGATACTTTGACTTGTTGGCTTTGACTACATGTAGGTCACACCTATGATGCGCCTGCATGTAGGAGATTGTATGCATGGTTGTCTGTATGTGTGCACCTCTACATGGCAATGATGACCTCCCATGGCACTGAAACCACAGTGATTGAAAATGCATCCGTCCCGATGTGAGTTCTGAGCCTATTAGAGATATGCACAGTGGCCATCTTTCCTCTGAAAGTGTCTGTTTATTCGCTTTGCATCTACGCAAGTTTGTCGCAATGCTTCCATGGCAACTGACACAAAGGCTCTGGGAAGTTAGCAACACCGGAGGAAACAACACTAACAAACAAACAGTGCATGAATATGTGAGATTAGGATTTAACGCAATGAATCAGTTACATTTGTTTAGATCTACACAGGTAAATGGAGCAGATAGTGTACGCCGGGCCTTTCACGTAGCTTCACTCGGATCGATACACGCTCAAGTTAAAAGCAGGACATTGTCGTTAACGGAATGGACACACACCTCCAGCCCTCACCCCCTTCAACACACTTGAAACCCCACCCTGCTTTACAGTACCACTCTCTTCCATCCCCTACTGTTTGTCCAGCAAGTTAATAGTTAACCAAATCCATAAACTTGGTGTGTCCACCTCATCACAAGTCTCATATTGTCACCTGAACACTGGGTGCTGCATCAGTCACAATGGCCCCTTTCTTTGCTTGATATATAAGAGAGAATGAATTGAATGAGCCGGAAATAAAGGATGACTTTGATCGCAGACGCTACAAGGAATTTTGAGGAATGTTTTGTTCTGGTCAGCAGATGAACCCTCATTCCACGGGAATTTCATCCACATGATGTCAAGCCATTCTCAGTGTGGATGAAAGCTTTTTTTTTTTTTTTAGAGCTGAGCGTGAATGATCAGCACTGTTTTCCAAGACGACTGCTACTGAAGATTATTTTCCAAGGCTCATCTGTTTTTTCTCCACTTCAGATTGTCTCCGCGGTGTCTGGTTAAAAAGGAAGGATTGGGAAACAGTGCAAGGGGAAAGGTGGAAGTAATGGCCGATTTCCAGTGCGCTAATGTGGGCTACACATTTGCTTCATCCAGCAGGAGTCAATGAAACCCAGGCTGTTGTAACATTGGTGTTTTGTTTTTTTTTGTTTTTTTATCATTGCTGTTGGGACCTCCACCACTATGTCCACATTCTTGACTCTTGAAATATATTTAGTTAAGAGTAGTGGGAGGACATGCACACCAATTGTTTGTTAAGAGCTGCTAAAATAGGAGCTGCAAGCTCTGCATCTTTCTCGCCTGCTAAGAAGAGTAACAGAGGGTGATCAAGTATCAGGAGTACATGAATGACCTCAATACCAGCGAGAAGGGAGTGAGCGAGACGCCTGCATACGCTCAACACCTTCAAATCATCAGCGATCACTGCTTTTGGCACCATTAGTTATATCACAGAAGCTTTTCATACATAAAACGAATGATTGAATGAAAAAGATAAGTTAAGACATACATACGGTTTCTTTGTCCAGCCGCTTCACCCTGCGATGTAAGCATTGGCCTGCAACCCAGTGTAGACCCTGTCAAGATTGATGGTGTTGTTTTGCAGGCGAAGGTAACTAGAGGTTATGCTCACATCTGTTCTCTGTAACTCAATCACTAGGTCAGACAGCAAGACGGACTCAACGCATACTTAAACAGACTCAGAACACTGGTTTCTCTCTTTTTTCCAGCCTTGTTTTCTTCCTTCTTCGCTACATCTTTGTTTGTATTAGTCCTTCTCTCCACAAACTTGCTTCATTCTTTGCTGGTTGTAAAGAGGGTAACTACAAGGCACTCAGACCTGGACAGCACCACACACACACACACACACACACACACACACACACACACACACACACACACATACTTACTAGGAGGAGTAAGCAGAAAAAAAGGAAAAAGCTACTGGCATGATAATAAAGGACTTGTTGGCCGGGGTTACTAGAGGGCAATGGCCGTAACTCGTCTGCCTGTGTGTGTGTGAAAGGAAGAGAGAGAGAGAGAGCCCGAGAACGACAGAGTGAGACAAGGATCATGTGGCTGGAGTGTGCCGTGTCCACCGCTCAACGCTGAAAGGGAGCAGCACCCAAAACAGGGGGCGGGTACTGCAGCTTCCAAACCACTGGACTCACCAGCTCTGTCTACTCTTATTTTCCAAAACCTACTGTAACTGACAAGTCCACCAACTTCAAGAGGAGTCCACTGGGGCCCGTTGTGGAAAATTTGCTTCCACCCAGGCGCCAAAAGGGATCTGGCGCGATGGATATGGAATTGGATGAGGATTGTACAATGTCAGACTGGGAGGCCGTGTTGGAGCTGGATGAGGCGTTGGCAGGGTGGCTTCTGCAGGGTCCAGCTAGAGGGGAGTGGGGTTGGGAGTGGGGCTGGGCTGCCTCAGACCTCCAAGACCCTGAGTGGGACACTGAGGACATCCCTGCTGTAAGTTGTCCTCCACTTGTAAGTTCAAAACAACGAGAAAAAAAGAAGGAGGAGAGTGAACAAAACAATGTTGGGAAGCTGGAAAATGTTGTGGTTTTCAACAGCGAAAAAGCTTTGTAGCAAGCTTTGTCTTTACTGTATGCTGCTGCAAGCATAGCTCTATGGCAGTTCTCCACCACTAAAGAAAACAACTGGTTTGGTTATGAGTCATAGCTATTTGAATTCTCCCAGAGCTCATAGAGGCCTGTTGTCTGGAACGATCATCATATTACTGTGTGAGTGACTTGATGTGTAAACAGTGTAGGTGTGTTTGGTTGTTTCTGGAAATGGATTGTGGCTCTAAAAAGAATCATCATGATGGTGTTGTGCAGTCAGTGCAGTTAATTTCAATCCCAGGCATTTTGTAAGGGCTCTCAGAGATGGCACTCGCATGATTTCAGAGCAGTTGTCCACACTTTTCGCAAAGGCGAGGAGAAGCAGCAACATATACAGATGAAGATGAAGCACTTGTAGTGATTTTTAATGTGAACAAGATGTTCTTTTCCCACCCGCTCCGATCCAAAGGAATATGTATATTTTTTTCTTTTGTCTCAGTATACCTCATGTTACTCTATTGGCAGCTATTGTTTCCTGAAGTTTTCCCGTGGAAGGAAAGCATCTGGCGCAGACAGTGAGAGCCCTCACTTCAGCGCTCACTTTGACAGTTTACACATTGCACTCTGCAAATAATCAAGTCTGCTGAAGCCAAGCAAAAGAGAAATTCTGATCATGTTAAATAGGATATCCTTCCCAGTTCTGGAAAGAATTTGTTTGACCAGGTTACTCAAACAACTGTGTTCGGTTTTGTTTATACTTGAGATTTCATCAGTTGTCCTTCCCCCTGTCACTAAACAAAAGCCTCATTGTCAGATACATGCTGCTCTGTAATGCAAATCTGAGAATGTGACTCTTATTATAACTGCTCGCTGTCACGGCAGCATGTGTATTGAATGATCTGCAGCGGGCTGACGTTTGGAATTGTGCTTTGAATCGCTCTGCTATTAAGTCTCATTAATGACTGCAGATAACTCAAGCCACATACCTCTGCTTGCCATTCACTATATGTCCATGTCCAGTGCTTGTCAAAATTCCCCACAGAATGAAAGCCATCAAACCTGTGGGTGGTTTTAACAAGGTTATCTCACATGCTCACAAATTACCCGCGCTGCGTGACGGAGACAACACTTGTGAGTGAGCGAGGAAGAGAGCATGAAGAGTGTGAACTTTGGAAGCATACGTGTGTGTGTGTGTGTGTGTGTGTGTGTGTGTGTGTGTGTGTGTGTGTGTGTGTGTGTGTGGTGGGTGTGTGTGTGTGTGTGTGTGTATGGTGATGTTTCTGACTCTGCCTGTCACTGCAGGTGCTGAGCCCCACATACAAGCAGCGTAATGAGGACTTTAGGAAACTCTTCAAGCAGCTCCCTGACACAGAGAGACTCATTGTGGGTGAGTGGACACCACAGACGCACTGGGGCCATCTGAGGAGTGGCAGGGTGTAGCTTACTTGTTAGTAATTAGAAAATGATTAATCCTCACACAACACGGGAGGGGGGGGGGTAGGTTGAACATAGTGACACTGATTGTATCTAGATTTTGTTTGCTGACAATGTAAAAACACCCTCCTCTCCTTGTAGAGGAACCTATCACCTGATTTTATTTTTTTATTCAACTTTTCACGCAGCCTTACCTACATGCTGCACTCTGCCACGAACACATCATGTCCCAAATTTGGCTGATTTATTGTTGCGTGATTTTCCCAGTTCTCTGATGAATGCTGTCTTTGTCTGAAGTTCCTTAGAAAATAAAACTCTAGGATAAAACTGAGCTCAGGTTGTGACTTTGTTATGGTTTGGTAAAGCTTATGCTCAAAACACACTCGCAGCAGGAGTCCTGAAAGGCACTGCAGGAGGTGAGGTTTCTGTGTGACAGTGAAGTGAGCGCCCTCAACTGAACTGTTTGTTTACACTGAAATGGGCATACTTGTAATAAATTATTGACCAGTTGTGTATGTTAATGATATAGGTTCTCTGTAATGCCCTTTGTAAATCTGCATCATACTTACTGTGTGTGGTGGTATTTCTTTCTCAGTTTTTGTGACTTCTCTATATTTCAGACTACTCCTGTGCTCTTCAACGGGACATCCTCCTGCAGGGACGACTCTACCTCTCTGAGAACTGGATTTGTTTCTATAGCAACATCTTCCGCTGGGAAACACTGGTATGCGTATTAACACTCTGCACCTTGGTGCGTTCTCTCGGCTGTATTGGGTCATATATTTGAAACTACCATTTGTCTGAGTATAAATAATGTGTGCATTTGTTTTGTGTTTGTGTGTAGCTGACAGTGCGGCTAAAGGACATCTGCTCAATGACGAAAGAGAAGACTGCCCGCCTCATTCCCAATGCCATCCAGGTCTGCACAGACACTGAGAAGGTAAAGGATATAGAATGACTGAATACAGACATTTACATTTGTGGAAACTTGGAGCAGTAGCTAATGTAGGCATAGGTAAGACTGAGCAGTCACTGTGTTAAATCTAATCATCTTCGCCTAAAGAGACGCCAGGGATGGTCTGATGTACAAAGGGTAGAAAGTCTGGCTGGTAACGGGTGTATTGGTGATTTAATCTTTATCGCCATCATGGGGGACATGTTCCTGTCACAGATGGGTGACTTGAGAATGGTTGGCAAGCTAATAACACCCACCATCACTGTCCAAGTGTGTCAAATAAACTCAGACAAGAGGGGTTTTAAAGCGTGCTCCTCTTTAATAGTTCTGTGGTAAGTGACATGATTGGCTTTTTTTTCTTCACAGCACTTTTTCACCTCGTTTGGAGCCAGGGACAGGACGTACATGATGATGTTCAGACTGTGGCAGAATGCACTGCTGGACAAGGTAAGCAAATCTCATTCTTCAGCTCACATTCAAGAATTTTTGTAAATTTGCATCTTACAGTTTAATCGTACAGAAAAGAAATGTTCCGAGCCACTCTTTTTTTTTTTTTCATATTTTACTGCACAGTACTAAAGAGTCTTCTCATTCCTCATTTTGATTGGTTTATGCCTCTTGCAGCCTCTGTGCCCCAAAGAATTGTGGCACTTTGTTCACCAGTGCTATGGCAACGAGCTCGGCCTAACCAGTGATGATGAGGACTATGTTCCCCCTGATGATGACTTCAACACCATGGGGTGAGTCTAGTTATATTGTGGCATCAGTTTCTATGGCTACTGCTATAAACATTTTTCAGTCGATCACCTGATTATACAAATTACAAAATAATTAGCGAGCCTGGTTTGAGCTGTAATAAGCAATACTCACATGCTCAGTCACAAACAAGTATAAACATAATCCATTTATAAACACAATTACACACTTAGCATCTATCTCATCTCTCTGCCAATTTAGACTGCAGTTTGAAGCATTTGTTTCAGACTTAATGGTTTACCAGCTAGTGTGGATGCTGCTAAGCAACTAGGAGAAACTTTTCCCCTCATGTCTGAAGTGGATTTACCAGATAAAATCAATAAAGAGTCATGGTTAGAATCTGTTTGTCCTCATAATGAGAAAAAAGAGTTTTCTGTTGACTGCCACATGAGGTCAGTAGCTGGGCTGTATGATTTCAATGTTTTATATAATTTGTGGCCTACACTCCCCTCCAAAAGTATTTGAACAGTGAGGCCAATTCCTTTATTTTTGCTGTTGAATATGAGACAAGAGATCAACATTTCAGCTTTTATTTCCAGGTATTTACATCTGGATCGGATACTCAACATAGAAGATAGCATTATTTGTAACGGAACACCAAATTTTTAGGTGAGCAAAAGTATTGGAACAGATAGACTTAAAATAGATTTAAGTGAATAAGACTTAATATTTAGTTGCAAATCCTTTGCTTGCAATAACTGCATCAGGCCTGTGACCCATTGACAGCACCAAACTTTTGCATTCTTCTTTTGTGATGCTTTTCCAGGCTTTCACCGCAGCCTCTTTCAGTTGTTGGTGTTTGTTTTGGGGGGTTACTCCCTTCAGTCTCCTCTTTAGCAGGTAAAGTGCGTGCTCTATAGGGTTTAAGTCTGGAGATTGACTTGGCCGGTCTAAAACCTTCCACTTCTTGCCCCTGATGAACTCCTTTGTTGTTTTTTGCCATGTGTTTTGGGTCATTATCTTGCTGCATGATGAAGGATCTCCCAATCAGTTTGGTTGCATCTTTCTTTAAATTGGCAGACAAAATGTTTCTGTAGACTTTCGAGTTCATTTTGCTGCTGCCATCATGTGTTACATCATCAATGAAGATTAATGAGCCCGTCCCAGAAGAAGCCATGCAAGCCCAGGCCATGACATTACCTCCACCGTGTTTCACAGATGAGCTTGTATGTTGGGGATCATGAGCAGATCCTTTCTTTCTCCAACCTTTAGCCTTTCCATCACTTTGGTAAAGGTTAATCTTTGTCTCATCAGTCCATAAAACTTTGTCCCAGAATTTTTAAGGCTCATCTCTGTACTTTTTGGCAAATTCCAGCCTGGCCTTCCTATTCTTCTTGCTAATGAGTGGTTTGCATCTTCTGGCGTAGCCTCTGTTCTTTTGTTCATGAAGTCTTCTGTGAACAGTAGATTCTGATACCGTCACTCCTGCCCTCTGGAGGTTGTCGCTGATGTCGCTAACCGTTGTTTTAGGGTCTTTCTTTACATCTCTCACAGTGTTTCTGTCGTCAACTGCTGCTGTTTTCCCTGGTCTACCCGTTCGACGTCTGTTACTTAGTACACCAGTTCTTCTCTCAGCCTCACCCGTAGACAGCTCTCTGGTTTTCATGTTGGTTACACCTCTAACTATAAATGCAGTCTGCACAGGCAAAACCCAAATCTGAAACTGAGCGTAGACATTCAGCGCCATTTATTGTTTGAATAATCAATGTAATAGGACACACCTGGGCAACAAAACACACCTGTCAGTCACATGTTCCACTACTTTTGCTCACATGAAAAATGGGTGTGTTCAAACAAAAGGTGCTATCTTCTAAGTTGTGTATCCGATCCAGATGTAAACACCTGGAAATAAAAGCTGAAATGTTGATCTCTTGTCTCATATTCATCTTTTGATGTCAAACCCAAATGTTTTCAGTCTACAGCGAAAATAAAGGAATTGGCCTCACTGTTCCAATACTTTTGGAGGGGAGTGTATATCCAACAGTCTGTACATTTCACTGGGTGAGGTTAAACTGACAAAGTGAGAGAGAAGAATGATTTACTTCAAAGGCTGTCCAGAGGTCAGATGCTTCAAAACACTTCAAATGCACACAAGCTAAATAAACCTAGAGTCATTCATCTTTTTCAAAATAACGTGCATAACAAGTACTGTCTGTTGCAACTGTTTCTAAACTGCAAAACACTGCTTGCTCTTGAATTCACTTCTAATGTTTCTAAGATACACTAAGCTGATCCTTTAATGCTTCGTTGTGATTGTCTAAACATCCTGTCAATAGTGTTTTACTACATTCAAATCTGACCCATCTGGAACCAAAGTAGGATGAAACACGCCATAAAAGACCTTTGTAAACACTACTTGAGCAAAGTTTTGCAAGGGTCCTCGTGCAGGAAGAGAGATAAGTAGAGATAAGTGAAGCTCTTGCCTGTCGATGTTCTCTGGCACCTTCAGGTTCAGTGAAGAGATTCCCAATGAAGAGAATGAGATCAACAATGACAACTTGTCTAAGAGCAGCACTGAGGCCAAGCCTGAAGGGAGCCCTCCTCCGCTACATAAGAAGGTTGTCCCTAACAGCACCATCCCCAGCCCAGGCAACCATGACACACCCATTACAGTAAGTTACATCTGTTGCATATTGTTAATTAAGGCACACACACATTTACACTGCAAAAAGCAATGGTCAAATGAACACGGAAACATTACTGCCGTGTTTGATGCCTATTTCCTTCTTTTTCCCCAGTTTGACCTCCCAGCAGAGGAATACGCAGACTGTCTACCAGACGGCGAGCTGCTGGCTGTGCCACTGGTGGCAGAAGAGAAGAACAATGATACCAGTGGGCCTGGTGGTCCTGTGCCCTCACCCTCACTTGACTTCAACGACAATGAGGACATCCCCACTGAGCTCAGTGACTCATCGGAAACACACGACGAGGGTAACTGCATAGAACAATTATAAAAAATGATTTAATAAAATATATAATCCAGTAGAAAGTCTGCTCTTCCCCACTAGAAATAGGGTGATGTAGATGATGCTAGTGACAAGAGCTGAACGTTAACAAGAGAAGACATCTGACATCTCTGATTTTTCTCTCTCTGATGTGTAGGTGAAGTACAGGCTTTCCATGAGGATCTGAACGGCAGGCAGTACATCAACGAGGTCTACAAGTTCAGTGTGGACAAGCTCTACGACATCCTCTTCACTGAGTCGCAGTTCATGAGTGACTTCATGGAGCAGAGGCGATTTTCAGGTTTGTATTTGTGATGCTTCTGCAGCTGAAATCTCTGGGGATAGCGCAAGCCAAAGAAAAATGTGCTGCCCCGCAGTGTTTTTTCAGTTCATTCATGTCTCTGTCTTGTCATTTTGTGGTTTAGATGTGGTCTACCACCCATGGAAGAAAGAGGAGGCTGGGAATCAGACCAGAGAGATCTTGTACACCATCTCCCTGTCAAACCCACTGGCCCCTAAAACAGCCACAGTCACTGAGACACAGGTACAACTCTACCACATGAAAAACATCTCCTATTATTTATATTTTTTCATATTTGATGTGACTTAAAGACACACCATATCCCCTGTCTTTTGTCAGACTCTGTACAAAGCCAGTCAGGAGAGTGAGTGTTACATCATTGACGCTGAGGTCATTACACATGATGTGCCCTACCACGATTACTTCTACACTCTCAACCGCTACATGCTCACCAGGGTGGCCAAGAACAAGTGTCGGTTACGGTGAGTGAGGCGTGGTCGTATCTGACCTGGGAAATTAGATGTATTTTTTATATTGTATTGTTTTGGGGGAAGTTTTAACAACTCCATTTAACATTTTACTGTACCTGTTTTTATAACTTATTGTGAAAGACTGTCTATCTCTCTTCCTCAGGGTATCGACAGAGCTACGCTACAGAAAGCAGCCATGGGGGTTGGTGAAAGGCTTCATAGAGAAAAACTTCTGGAGTGGGCTGGAGGAAAATTTCCGGCATCTTGGTAAACTTGATTGTTGTTAGTTTGTCTGTTCTGGCAGTTCTAATATTTCATAATTTCATTTGTAAAATAAATTTGTAAAAATTTCTGCACTTTGCAGAAATTGTGCATCTGAATCACAGAAGTTTTTTGGCTACTATTAAAGCGAGAGGAAGGAAGAATGAAGAGAATAAAAAAACATACCCCATAAAGACGGTGGCATGTAACAACTGTCCTGTTCCCTCTCAGAGTTGGAGCTGTCCAAGCTGGAGGAGATACTGACCGAGACCCACCAGCTGTCTCCGAAGGCCAAGGCGGTGAAGAACTCCACGGTGAGGCGGAAGAAGAGGCCGCTCCCCCACATGCGCAGCCAGCATCTGGACGAGGCACTCAGCCCCGTTACCACGCCGACGGACGAAGAAGTGATTCAGAGGATCAAACAAGTGGCAGGATCCACACAGACCCGACACCAGAGTCCAGAACACCATCACATGCCTGGAAGCCTCGCTCTTTACAGTGTCTCCAAACTGCTGCTCATCATCAGCTTTGTGTAAGCAACGGATCACAATCACACACACACAAACACACACACACACACACACACAAACACAAACCCGCATATCTGACCATGAGGATGAAAATACAAATTTGACACATCACATATTGAAATTTCTGTTGCATGATTTCATCCATTTTTCCAGTAGGCTCTGTAGAGTTTTTTTCTGATTTACAAATGAAAATTAAAGTCCTTATAAATATTTCATTGTTGTTCTCTCTCCTCTCCCTTCATTGCCATCCATAGGATCTGTTTAAGGTACATATAATATCTGATTAGCCAGTGTAGCTAGATGCATTAACAGTTGCATTTACAGTATTCCCATTACTATTTGTATGTAATGTCCATTTACATATCAGCCAATTAACTGCACTATGAATTGCCAAAATGCCAAACGGGAATGACTGATTTACTGACTTTCTTCAGCCTGGTCCTGCTGGTGTTCCTCAACATGATGCTCTTCTATAAACTGTGGATGCTGGAGTACTCTGCACAGTCCTTAACGACCTGGCAAGGTCTACGGCTTCATGAAAGGTACACACGCGCACACACACACACACACACACACACACACACACACACACACACACACATATGCACATTCTGCACATTTTTTGTCACCTATTACAGAGATTCAGGATAGTTAATGGACCTTTGAGGTTACAGAAACTTCCACTGTAGATCTGCTGTCGTTAGTTGGCTGTTATCCCCAAAGGCAGTCACACACAAGCATACACATACAGTTACAAACAATCACATAGGCACACACACACACACACACACACACACACACTGTTGCTATTACATACATTAAACTATGTCCATATGGAAGTTGATGTGTGTGACAGGAAAACAGTCTCTAAAATTACTCTTGAATAGCTCTGAACTTACTGAAACAATTTACCAAACTGTTTGTTGGCAGTCCCTCAAAATGGAAGTCAAGCTTCAGTGACTGCACTCTGCTAATGTTGCTAATATGCAATGTGTGTGTGTGTGTGTGTGTGTGTGTGTGTGTGTGTGTGTGTGTGTGTGTGTGTGTGTGTGTTTCCCAGTAAACTGCCTCAGACACAGATGGAGTGGGCCCAGCTCCTGGAGGCGCAGCAGCGTTACCATGACACGGAGCTGCAGAAGTGGAGGGAGATTATCAAGTCGTCAGTGGTGCTGTTAGACCAGGTACTCAGACATTTTCAAAATCACGTCAGACCTGTGATGTGATTTAAGAGTTCAACAAATTACTGTAGCACCACAGCTAACGAGATAGTTTGCCAAGTGCACTATATCACAATATATGACCATTTTAGCACTGTAAAATGTATTGCATCCACTACTGAAAGAGAGAGGCCTGTGAGCCAGTAAAGTTACACATCAAAATTCCTGCCAGCCAAAATAGTGCCATAAATGAGAGGGTAATTTTTGTGTTTTACCAAGTATTCATGCAGCATAATCCAGGCCCGGTCACACAGAGTTGGGCTGGAGAGAACTTTGATCCCACTACTGAGCCAAATTTGAGGAATCCCTCTATGCTCCATTTTCAAAGATAGCTACTGATTGAATATTACATGAGTAAGTGAATGTTAGGAAAGCCACTGAATAACTGTCAAAGTAGGTCTTTGTAATTTTTCTGTCTTTAATAAACAAGCTAATGCGCTGATTTTCCTCCTGTTTCTCTTCTTTAGATGAAAGACTCTTTATTGAACCTCCAGCGAGGCATTGGTTTAAGTGAATACAGCTCTGAGGCGGAGGAGAAGAGAAGTCGCTATCACTGACACACCACCACAAGGCCATGAGGGCGTGCTGTGCAATATAGGACCTGTTTTTGTTTGTGAACCAGTATGCAGGCAGCAGCAAGAGAGAGAGAGGGAGGATAGAGGGGGAAGCGGGACCAACAGTGAGCTGGTCCAACAGACAAAGAGGAACAGAGGGTAACCAGCGCACAGAGGGTTAAAAAAAAACACCCCCAGAGGAGGAAGTCATGGACAGAAAGTGCCCCTATCACACACAGGAACTGAGGTGTCCCCAACATCACTGAGGCACTGAGGGACGGTGCGAGACTTACACCTTCTCTACACTTGTGGGATAACTGTTTCCTTCTACTCTCTTTATTTCCAAGTGCATCCTTCTGTAAGCCATGTCGACCAGGAGAGTGGCAGAGAGAAAGAAGGAAAACTACTGCATGCATTTAGACAACCTAGCTCCCCTCAGTCAGTGTTAATGTGGTCCAGTTCCAGTCTATGTGTGTCAAAAAAAAGAAGAACAGAAGAAGATGAGAGATTTTGTCAAAGGAAAGGGGGGTCCTTTCGAGTCTTAATGGCTTTCTACACTCTCTCGACTGTTCCAAACCAATCATCCCCTAGAGGTCCTCGCTGCAGCGTCCCTTTTGCAAACCTCCAGGTAATCAGAGTGTGAAGTATCATCCCGCAACCTAAAAGGAAAAGAAGTGTTGTAGCTGGAAGCTCCTTGCCTTGTTTGACCCTGGCCTCTGTCAGGGCTGGTTCCCTGTCAGACCGTTGTGTTGAAATATTTAAAAGTAGAATCTAAGGATTAAGACAGAAACCAGTATTTTTAACCTTATACACAATTCACATGATCAGTTGCCCCAGCCAGAGTGTTAGCTACCTTACACTGCATTATTCCTCATCCTTGTAAAGAAGTCGAATGTATTAGCCTGGACAAAAAGGCCAGGCTTTGATCTCAACTTATTCTTCTTTGAAAAAGGGATGCTGCAGCCAAACCTGTAGGGAGATCTGTGTTCTTACTTGTTTTATTACTAAACTGTGACTATATCTCTTTAAAAATGTTTCAAAGTAGAAAAAAATCTATGAATATATTTGAAATATATAAGAATATTTCATTATTTAATATATATATATTTCAAAATATATAAACATTACCTATATTTATTGTTAATTTATGTACATAAAGAAATTATCAGAGCTCTAGACCAGTTAAAGAATTTCTAACAAAAAGTGTTTTCTTCTAAAAAATGCATGCCAGATATGTCTGTGACATGTCCAGTGTGCAAGTATGATTCTGCATTCGCGCGATTATATTCGCGCATGTGTGTGACTGTGTATGTGTGTGTGTGTGAGCGTGAGACTGCGTGCATGCGTGTGTGTGCGCACAAGTGTGTGCTGTAAAGTGTGACATTTTTACCATACCACACTTGTATGTTTCTTAATTTGTTTTCTTTTCTGGCTCCTGCAGCCAGACTGCCTTTTTTTAATGCTAATGCGTTTGGATGCTGCCTTGCATTAGCCCCACCAGGGTACAGTTTACAACAGAAGAGTTTTGTTCCAAAATGAAGTATCCAGGATTTGAAAAAAGAATTTACACCTTCATGTACAAAGTGATTGATTGCTTAAACTATCAATTAATGTCACTTTTTGATGCATACTAAGTAGCTTAAATCCGTGGTTAACAAAAGGAAGAAGACAGACTTGTTCATCAAAATTTTTAAGATTGAATTAACTTGAACTTGATGATGTTTCTCTTGTAAATGGATATATAACATTTTGGAGATGGACCCTTCATCTGCCCTCTGTGAGCAGTTCTTTGTCCATGTCACCACATTAGTGGTTTGACCACTCTTTCCTAAAAGGAATAGTTTGACATTTTGAGAGACAAGCTCATTTCTGCCGTAGAGTTCAAAGTGAAGATCGACACCACTCTCATGCCTATAAACTAATTATGAAACTACAGCCAGCAGCCTGTTAGCTAGCTTAGGGAGCTATTTCCAGGCTCTGCTGGCTATCAGCTAATTAGCTAATCTTAGCATAAAGACTAGAAAATGGGGGTGGGGGGGGTGCCATAGCAAGTTGGTTCTCCTGTGTTTCTAGTATGTATGCAAACCAGGTTAGCTGTTTCCCCATGTTTCTTTGTGCTAAACTAAGCTAACTGGCTCCTGGCTTGCTCTTCATATTTTGAATGCAGATATGAGAGTGACGTCAAAACTCTCAGAAACGAAGTGAGTAAGCGTATCTCTCAAAATGTCAAAGTATTGTTTTTAAAATACCTTATTCAACCCAAATTATACTCTCCCCTCCCCATTTCAAGTGTCTGTCTTGGATGCAATGAAAGCATGAGAATTAACTAAATTGAACCAAAAGAAAGAAGTAGAAATGTACCTTCACAAATTATCACGTTGTTTTAAATGAAGTATTTATCATGTATGTCATGTATTATATATATAATGGATTAGGTGCGGTAAAGAGCATCTCTTTTGTCGACAGTTTGTCAACAGACACCCCTTAGAGCTGACAGACTTCAACGATGAAAGCACTTCCAAACTAACAAAAACTTCCTTGTGTAAAAAAAGAGAAAGTGAAGCACTTTAAGGCCTTTTCAGGTAAAAGAAATGATTGAGAGAAATGGCAGTGGTTTAGTTTGGATGTGAATGCAGGACTGAGGAAATAGCTTCACTGGCGAGTTACAGTTAATCACACTGGTGATTTACAACTCATTAGAAATGGCTGGAATTCAGTCCTGCTGGTTTGTTACTGCTCAAACATTTTTGCTTTTGCCTAAATAGAATATTATTGAGGTGATCACATGTGAATCTTCCAAAACACATCCCAAACAAAGCAACTCCAAACTGAAGTCTGCCACACTTTCTTGTCTATTTCAGGGCAAGGCAAGAATGAGTGATATGTAAAAGGGAAAAGGTGTGCCTGTGTGGCGTGTTACTGACTGACTCACTGAAAACAGCAGAAAAGCTTCAGGATTTGGACCCCTGCTGTTTGTGTATTACATTTGAAGAAGGCAGAGTAATGATAACACATGGAAACCTTAAGACCTGAATGTGAGTGGTTGGAAATGTTTTCTGTTTTATAGAAATCACTTTCACAATCCTGATGACACTGAAAGATTATAGTGAAGTTATGCTTCGTGTATTTGATGGTACAGAAATGTCACATATATGAAATATATATGAAAATGTGATTGAAATGCTTTAAAGAGTTTGTTTTTTAAAGTGTATGATGAAATTGATTTTTTTCCTGATGCTTGAACCACTTTTTTCATTTAAAAAATTCAAACATTCTTAAGCATTTTGAGGGAGACATTGTAAATTAGTTTAACTTCCTGGCTTTGGTTTGATACCTTTGATACCTGATTTTAATCTTTGGGCAACTGTATTTTATTTCACTGTCAAGGTTAGGTGAAACGGTTCACAGTGACATACATTTTAACACTGAACTGCTGTAAAACGCACATCCTCTCAGTCCAAATTACAAATGCACTCAGACCTCCGATAAACTCTCACAGCACACCTGAATTTAATTTTACCAATCTCCACTATTATGCAATTTAAGTTTTTTGTTTGTTTGTTTTTTCTTTTTTTTAGCCTTCATCATTCCCTTCAAAACTCCCATGTTTCTCATTGTTACCAACAAATGACTTAAACAAATCAAGTTTTCATTCTTTCTCTTCTCGTGTGCACTCACAGTTATCTGCGTTGCAAGAATGATTGTATGATTGCTATTGCTGCACAGCTGTGGAACCAAGGCGACCCGAGAGTTCTGGATGCCACCATTTTGTCACTGACAACTAATGAATTGTGCGCTTCGTTGACTGTATTAATTGGCATTTACCTTGCTATCACAGAGCCGGCGAGACAATAGTGCCACTCATACAACACAGTACTGACTAACAGCCTTGGTTAACACACAGTAGGAATCACGTACGACCTCCTGAAAACGACCACTGATCAAACTCATAGCAAATGCTCTTCTTCGAGTGTGTCTTGATAAAAATATGTACTGGTGTAGTTCTGTTCAAAAAGAATTCTACTGTATGTTTTTTTTTTTCTTTTTTTTAGAAAATGTTTTGATCTCTAGAGAGACTTTTAGTGAACTTTATACATGAGATAAATATACTGTAAGTATATGTTGTGTATATCTGCAGTGTGCACACACACACACTGACAAAAGAATCCAACCTGCGCTGCGCGTAGGTTTTGACTTGCCGATGACTTTGCCTCATAGAGAATGAAGATAAAAGTGGCTTTCTGGTTCATGTGAAGTAGAGACTGGAAGTATGAATAAAAAAGTATTGAACAAAAAGCTGTTGCTGTTCTTGGAGTGGATTGCTACTTTAATGTTTAATCCACATGCAGCTTTTGCGACTTGAGATTTTTTTAATAGTTGAATCACAAAAGGGGCTTCTTGTATTTTCCTCACAGGAAGTAGAGTTGCTGTCCTTAAAGACCCAACACGCATAACCCGAGAGACTTTACAGTGGAGTAGTTCAGAGGAAACTTGCATGAGTAACTGAGATGAAATATTCATCTGTTACTGCACTTTAAAAAATCAAATCAAATCAAAAGATGTTAAAATATTAATGTTGCATATTGAAAGCATTGTTATTTTAGGTGCTGTATTTATAGTACAAGCCTCTCATAACCTACTACTGTTTGTTCAGAGCAGTCTGGATTCCTATGCCACACTCTTAACTGTGTACATTAATTACCACTGTTTCTATATTATTTAAACCAACCAGATGAATCCAGGGGAAAGCTATAATGTCCATCCATTGCAAGTCTAGTCACTGCAATTTTGTTTTTTTCATGAAATTACCCAAAAAATGTAATTGTTTCATTTTCATTTCATTGTAATACACCTAATTTAGCTTATGCTTTGTTTCTAAATTGAGTTCTGCTCTTTTAATCCCTGTTCTATAATATTAGTTATGTTCATTTTTAATTAACCTAAATACAAACGGTACATATGGAAAATGTGTATACATTTTTACAAGTGAGGAGAAGATGCCCAGATGGCCGCTGTTGATTCACTGCTGATTCACTGCTGATTCTTTACTGCTTTCTTCTTCAACCCTGGGAGCATCTGGCCTCAACATCTGAGGGGAAGTTGTCTAAGTCACACACCAGGACGTGATGGTGAAATCTCAAATATGATGGTTGTTGAACTGAGAAATCACTGCAAACCTTTTGCCCTGTGTGCAGAAGGCTGCAGGGAGTTAGAGATGGTTAAAGATTCTGTGAACAAGATTTTAATAATAGGCTACTAATAATATAGCAGCAAACAACTATTTTCTGTGTAAAAGAAATAGTCATGGCATCCTGAGCAGACAACTAAGACACAGCCTTTAAGGGTTTTAATCTGACTTTCTCTGTTCTTTTGGTTGCTAGTCTCGTCGTGCGTGCATGTCAGTGCACATACGTGTGCGTGTTAGTGCATGACAGTCTCTCCTAAACATGCAGGGACAGTCCACAAGTGGGATGACACAATGCAGTACACAGAGGTCCGGTGAGAGCCACCAACGAGAATTTCCTCCACTCAAGAATCCATGTTTGAATCCCGTTGTGGGCTTAATTTACATATTTATTTTTGGCCAGCTAGTTTAGTATTATTATCTGTAGATTCATATTGACACATGCATTTCACATAAATTGGTGATGTTTAGTTTTATTTCGGTGAGGTCTTCAATATCTGGCCACACTTCACAGGCTACAGGGAGGCCTGCTATGGTGAAAATGACCAATAGTGAACTACAACATTTGGCGCACAGGAAATGGAATATGTGCAATATCACCAGATAACATGACCACCAGTTAAACTGAAACACCGACTCGGTCAGGGTCATTCCTACGGCCACGGTTGCAGTGGATAAATCTAAGGCTGAATTTCTAAGTCCGACCATGGAGCCGACACTGGTCTGGCTTTTCCAAGCTGGAGAGACCTACGAGCTGCTAAAGGGCTCCAGCTTGACTCAGAGCTGGCTCTTCTTTCCGTCAATGTGTAAGTAACTTATGGCTACATAAAGTTACATGTCTGTTTTCGTGACCGGCTACATTAGGCACGATAACGTTAGCTGACCTGCTGTTTCCAATATTATAAACGTGTTCTGCAAATGCTGCTATGGCTAGCTGTCTTACTGTTAGCATGGCCTTAGAGCATTTCACGGCAATGCTAGCGCGGGCTAATGGTTGTGGCTGGATTTTTTCTTTGTTTGCTCTAACTTTATTCAGTCGCGCTTCTTGTTGTGTGTCTAGTGGTTGCTTCCACTGGGCTTCTAACGCCTTGCTTCCGGAGAACATGAAAGGAGGGGAGGGAGGGTTGTGGCCTCATGGAGGCCGGAGGTGAGGCCGACGAAACATTTTTTTGGTCTGAGATGCTGGTGGTTGAGTGCGACATCTCGTGGCAGTGACGATCGTTTACAGAACCTTAAAATAATCATGTACCATTAATTATTCGCTTTAAACAAGGCACAAATATCATATTTATAAGCTTTATAAGCTAAATAAGATATATTTATTTAAATGATGTGGCCACATAGTTTAATTAAATTATATTATACTTCATAATGTCCTGAATATATTGTTGCATTATGCACGGCGTCCTCAGGTTATCGCATCCTGTCTAACTGCTAGATCCATTTTACAGCTTTCTTCACCAGTGTTTCAGTCTGGTTATTGTTGCCCTCCTTGCTCTGCCCCTACATGGTGGCTTTAAATCGTTTCAGGATAATAAAATCTCTCGTCTTTTGCTATACCCCCAGAAACCCGTCCCCTGAAGTAGTCCATTAGTCGCAGACCAAGATGAGAGGATGGGTGAGGTCGACGCGTCACTGTAATGAATCAAGGGGGATGGGACAACGTTACGCGCAGCGCCCTTCCAGCCCCTCACATCCAATGAAGGCTGAGATTGAATTTGCAAAGGGGCGGATGACTCCCTACTTTCTCGCCGTGGCTGGTCGCAGAGGGAGGAGCTCTGCTGCTGCGTTTGACAGCTGCGAAATAGAAAATGTATAGCGCATAGAAGGTCTGGGAAACCATGCTGCTCCAAGGCAACCATACTATCACAAGGAATGGGATGCAGCATGGACCTTTATAGCCTGCGAATGCCCTCGTAAATCTGGGGCAATCGGGAACACGAAATACGAAATAAGGGAAATAATTAGCTTTTATTGTGCAGATAATCCTGGGATTTTTTCGGGGTCATGCACCGTGCGTTCTCGTTCCCGGTGACTGTGGAGCGCAGTCGGACCAAAGAGCGCCTGGAGGCGAGTCTGGCCGGGCTGTGTGAGCTGGAGCTCCGCAAGCAGAGGCAGGAGTGTCTCGTGCTGGGGGCGCTGGCTCTGGGAGACCCCCTGCCCCAGGACAGTTCCACGGGAGAGCTGGCTTGTTTCAGCAGCTGGGGGCAGGAAAACTTGACACTTAGGCGTCAGCTGGTAAGAAGTTTATATTGAGTGTCTTTTAGGCTACTACATGTTTGGATTCCGGCAGCCCTTCCATGTTGGCTCGAACCATATTACCCCACCCTGTGCTGAACCCCACTTTACCCCTTCCATGTACATAGTTTTGAATATAATAGCCTTTACAGCGTATCCTCATTGTAATCCGCTTGACCGTTGCATGGACTCTTGGTTTGGGCTGCGTCTTTTGTTTATACGTGACCTCTATCTGCAAAAAAAGTTACTCAACTTGATTAATAGGGTCTCTATTTGAAAGGCTGTAATGCGTTTCTGTGCTTTAGGCTGAGATTTATGCCTGTGGTAACGAAATCAGGGGGTGGAGCACCCGTCGTCTGTGGCACAGACCCACTATTTAATGGCCCATTGTTCCCTCATCATGGACTTTAGTAGGTTTTACCACTTAACAAGCTCTTATTTGTGCTCTCAACAGATCATAAAAGGATGACTTATTCTTTCATCTTGTGTGTTGCTGTTGCAGCTAACATTTTTATGTTATAATTGTCGTGGCTTTTCTTGTGCAGAGCTCTGCCGAAGTTGCGACAAATACGTTCCGCTGTGACGCAACGGTGCCAGCATTAACATGAGAATTAAAAAAAAACTGGGTTAAGCGAGGCAAATAAAAGTTTGGGTGTGACAGCGTTAGCCGACATCAGCATCTCCAGTATAAAGTTTTACGCACCGCTGAGCCACCTCTGAACAGTATGGCATTTACTGTGTATTTGACTGTATTTTTCGTAATGCTGTATAAGTTTAATTCTGGGGTGTGGGACTTTTCTTGCTGCTCTTGCGCAGCCCGCAAGTTGTCTCAACATTGCTACAATAGGAAGCCATTATTAAAGAGAGTGAAAAAGAAATTAAATCAGCCGCCTCCTCTTCACACCTCCTTCTCCCCCTGCCACCCTCCCTCCTTCTCCTCCGCCGGGGGCCTAACAATAGGCGCATATGGAGCAGAATACTAATGATGCCGATCGAGGCCCCTGCTAGAGGATAAGGCGAATAGGTGGCCTTGTACGCTGGCGTCATTTCGGGTAGCCTATGCCATGGTATGGGCACTAAGCTCTATCTTTGCCTTAATGAGTCCTGAAAGAAAACAAAGATTATGCTATTTACAAAACCAGTTTGTATATTAACCCATAGGTCAAGTGTTTCCACTGTGCCACACACACGTCTTAAAATTCATTTTCCCTGGTGTTGGCGAAGCTGTCAGCTTTCAGCCTGGCTTCTCATCCCCCACACTTTTTGTGGTCATTTTTCAAGGCCAGCGAAGAAGTGGCACGGGTTTCCCCACAGCGCCGCATATTTCTCCCTTTTTTTCCTTTTCTGCAGTAAGGCGTCTTCGGATCGATGTTTATTAACTGTTCCGCTTATCCAAGCGTGTGTGTAATTACACAGGAAATTCCTCGGAGGATATTTTTCTCTGACAGGACTCTAATTGAAGTCTCAAATTGAGTCTTCATAATATCAGGTCACCATCTGTGTCCGAGCCAAATCCCCCAATCTCATCTTCCATGTAGGTTAAAGTCTCCAAAATGCATAGTTCACAGTGTGACACAGAAACAGCTGACCCTTGAGACTGCCAGTGTGTGCGTGTGTGTGCCTGTGTGTGCATGTAGTTGCCTTGAACATGTGGCCCCAGACTGGCTCAGAGGCCTTTTCTCATGGATACAGTGTGTGGTGTGGAAGGTGTTGACAGCTGTGGGACGCCAGGCAGCAGCTGGGAAAGCATGAAGCTCTGACCTCCCTCTCAGCTACCCTGCTGTGTGTGTTTGGAGAAAGTAGAGGAGAATAGATGAATTGTGTATGAATGTGTGACATACTTGCATCCATCTGTGTGGAGGAGTGTTTGCTCTGGGAAACCTTCGGTGGTCTGAAGTTAGACTTGTTTAATATTAAGAGGAATTTGAAAATTACTCTGAATGTTATGAATTGACATATTGGATTTAAATAATGTGATTGTGCATGTGTGTTTACAGGCACATGCAAAAAGTGTGTGTGAAAGCATATGTGTGCATGTGTGTGCCATAGGCTTTCTTTTGTTTTGTGCCTTTGCTGAAGCACTGACTCATCATCGATCAGGTTGTGTGTGTCCTTGTGTTAAGACAGCAGCCTGTCATTAGTGAGAGTACAGCACTGTTGGTCTACTTAGCAGTGACTGATCACTCAAATGGATCACTGCATGGTTTCCTCTGCTTTGTTCTCCCACACAGACATAAAAACTCAAACGTCTTAGCGTTCTTTGGCTTCTTTGTGCAAACAGGCAAATGGGCAAATGAGCTTCAGAAAATATATAGGCAAATACACATCCACAATGAGAAACCAGGTTGTCCAATACACATATGCAAGCAGAAAAAAACATGAGATGGTCCCACAGCTGTCAGTCACATGAGCACAGCCTTGTGCACGTCTCTCTTTAGAGACTCCATTCACAGCCAACCCACACTGCTGCCCTGCCCATAAGCCACACTGCACTAACCATGGAGTCAGAGCAGGCTGATGAATGCCATTTACTATTGGGATTTTTTTTTAACGCCGTGTGTGCACCTGTGTGTGTGTTTGTGTATGTGAGTGAAGAAAAAAGGGATCAGTAGTTCAGTCGAGTGGTGGAACTGGGGGCAGGGTTTCTTGTGTGTGTGTGTGTGTGTGTGTGTGTGTGTGTGTGTGTGCGTGTGTGTGTGTGTTTCCGGCCTCCCACAGCCCTGTCTGTGTGGAGCCAGTCACAACATAGCTTTAATTATAGAGGGTCCAGCAGTGCAGCTTCATGCCTTGTGCGCCTTGTCCCATAGATTTCTGTATCCTAGTGGCGTCTGTCAGTGACTGGTTGGGGTTCTAGTCTACAGATCTCTTTTCTCTATATCTTTTTTCACTCTCCCTGGTTGAAAAACTCTTGGATGGCAAAATTGTAATGTCTCTGTACCATCCCTCTTATTTTTTTCTGTCTTCCACTATTCATCTCCACTCCTCAGTGGCTCTAACAGGTGATATCAATAAGAAATCAGTTATACTATCCTGGAATCTCCTGCTGGTCAGTCTGTTTCTCTCAAAGAGCGGATGTGTTGCACAGCCAGTGTGTCACAGCTTAATGGCTAGGTGAGGGTGGCTGCACAGTGTCCTCTTCTTCCCCATCCCCCATCAGCCTCGGGCAGAGGATGCAGTAAAACAGTAATGATACAGTGTGCAGAGTGTCAGAGAACCAGTGTGAGACTATTAATAATAGAGCCATACCGTCACCAAAGCCACACTACTATTGTGTTAGGTTGGTCCGTTCGTCCACAAAGGTCTGCTTGCTGTCTGCAGCATTATAATTTAATAAGCAGCACCTTGGGTTCCACAGTGTCTGTATGTGTGTTCATTTGCGGGCATGGCCAAAAAGAGGCAGCAAGCAATCAATTGAGTGAAACAGCATCATTGATTGAATTGATTTCCAATAGCCTCTCCTCCTTCCAGCTATGTCTTTACCCCACGCCAGTATCTGAAACAAAGCTCCCTACTCTTCATTACTGCCACACAAAACCATATTGATGTAGTGATGCTAATGCTTTGTTTATAGTGGGACAATAAGCACCCTTGTCGAGACAAAAGAAATGACAGGGTTTGGGGTGAAGAGGTTGTGTGGGAAGCATAGGTTAGCTTGGGTCAATTGCCCCTCAGCAGCACTTGCATTATGACCACATTTAGTCTGCAGGACAAAGGAGTCATAGTTCAAGCACTGATTGGAGCAAATGACCAAGAAGTTCATGCTCAGGGATCGTACAGCCAAGTTTCCTGTTTCTATAGGAATTTTTCTCTTGAACATAACAGTTTTAAGAGTCAAACACATGCAATCTTTCTTAAGCCTGAGCTATGGAGGCGGAGTAATGGAATTTTGTCCAGGAAAATTGACAGAGGAAAAGTTGAGAGGTTCACTAAAGTCATTACAGTTCATCTTGAGGGGAACTTGAATGTACCAAAGGTTATCCATCAACCTCATGGTGGCGCTACAGGAAAAGTCGGGGGTCATCAAAGTCGGTAGGTTATGTTTTCTGGGCACCATGAATGTCTGTAAAAAAATAAAAATAAAAATTTCATGGCAATCCATCAAATAGTAATAGCGTTATTTCAGTGGTGGACTGACCGACAGTCAGGCTGACTTTGTTATCCCTACAGCCTTGGTGCTGACATGGCTGAGAAGACTCTACCAGTATGACAGTAACAGTGCTTTCCAATGATTTGCATCAGCTATTCTGCACATAGCCCACCCCCCACCCCCACCCCCAAAAGGATCTCCCTACATTTCCATAGGCAGTGTTTTATTGGCACAGACACACAGATGTACAAAAGAAGTGGATGGGACTGTAGCAGATGTCTGACAGGGTGCTCCATCATAGAAGGTTTGTAATGTAAAAAGTGTCACCTTGGTATGAGGACATGCTCAATCTTGTTGTAATGAAGTCTCTTAATGAGCCTTGAGTGTCAACAGTACGCCTATCACTTCTACAAATGACAAAATGAAACGCTTTTGTGCATGCGTGCAGGTTTGTATGTGTGTGTGCAGGCTGTGTATGTGTTAAACCATGCAAACAAGCTTGCGTGCTAGTGTCTGCAGATGTTAGTACAAGTGTCAGAAGATGTTGACACGAGACTGGCGCAAATTGTCTCGCTGGCAGAACTAGTATGTCCAATGTCTTACCAGTGCGTGTGCATGTGCATAGTCCTTTTGTCTTTATGAGAACCAATTTTGACTATAATGTAATGAAATCAAGTCATTTTCCGTTGAAGTTTAGCAGATGTGGGAATTAATATAATCAGCAGAGGATTGAAAACAAGTTCTTATGTTGAGTTCACGTTATCTGTTCTTTTGCTGTGTTTATCTGAGCTGTATAAACAAGCACATTTGTCTGTGTGTGTGTGTGTGTGTGTGTGCGCGCGCGCGTGCGTGCGTGCGTGCGTGCGTGTCCCCCCATGAAAAAACATCCCCCAACCCTTCACAGACCCTTGAATTATTCATGTTCCAACTGACTGCTTAAGTTTGCTTACATAAGAGAGCCCACTGACAGATAGGGATGCTGTGCACAGTGGTGACCCGTGATGGCCACATTCTTATTTTAGTAACTAGTGAAAGAGAGTGTACATTTTAAGTTGTGGCTTAATCTGTTTTGACATTTTGTGTTAAATCATTTGGACCATTTTTTATCACCGTTGGCTGAGACAAAGGTAGAAAAAAATCCTTGCACAAACTGAAATGACAGTTACTCTCTCAAATTAAGTCATTAGTTGATAACATAATGCAGCTAATACAACATTAATTCTTTTGTGCTTCACTGTTGTATTCTGGAGATAAATTCAACTCATCTATTCACAAATTCTGAACACTAGAATACCAATTTCAGAGCTTATCTCAACAGGTGACAGATGATAATCGGTGTCAAACTAAATGAGAGCTGGCATACAGCTGGAGAAACAAGCAGTGAAGGAATCACAGCTGTGTGTCTGCCATTAGGAATTCTGCAAACTAGTAATTTGACTGCAAAGTCTGTTTGAAAATTTTTGCCTTGTTGTTGAAATCGCTGATTTTTGCCTCTTACCGTCTACTTAAGAATTACTTCTCAAAGCAGCGCAATCAAACACCGACAGCAACAAAACAGTCTGAATGCATGAGTGTGTATTTGTGTTTCAGAGTGCTCTCCAGAGTTCCCCATGGGGCCTGATGCAGGCGCTGGAACAGCAGGTGGGAGAACTGAGGATCGACACAGACGATGGCTCTTATGATGGCGCTCAAGGAGACACAGGCGACAGTCGGCCGAGTTCTGGTACTTCCCAGTGTTTTAAAACTTATTTTCCTAATGCTTTTCTAAATGTGCACATTATGTGATTTGCTCACTTTCAACAACTTTTTTCTTTGCTTTGTGAAATCCTGTATGCCTGCCAAGACTTTGTAATTTATTTCTGCTCTTATTGTTTGTTCATGCTCCACTTGCTTGAAATTTGGTTTTGTGGTCTATTTGTGAAATGCGGTAAGACACTGCCTGGGTCAAGCAACATATTTTTAGACAACTGGAATGGTCAGTGAGCTATAATGAATGAGATAGTCATCTCTTCTCCCTCTAACTGCGCTTTTCCTTAGGTTTCTATGAGTCGAGTGAGGGTCAGTCGCCAAAAGGAAGGTCTTGTTCCACCGAGCCTGCAGAGACTGTCTCGTCCTGGGCTTACACCAACGACAGGCCAAAGTCTGTGGGTAAGAAAAAAATTAGCAGATCTGGAAAGCCTGAGGTACAGTTAAACTTGCGCACACATGCATTCTCAGAAGTAGCAACAGACGCATAGAATATTCTTGTTCCGTATGTAAGTGCAGCAGTCAAAATTTTAGCACATAATTTTAGCAATTTGGCATTAAAAGCCAACTTACTTAATCACAGCATTTATTCATCTATTCTTTTCCTTTTTGTAAAGTGAAAAAAAGATGGTAGATTTGTTATTCTTCTCTGGCATCTACTGACTTGCCATTATATCCGTAGTTCGAAGCCAGAGAATCAGGAAATGGGGTGAAGATCGAGTGGAAAGAAAAAGCTGCAAACACCACAGCTATGTAAACATACTGTTTTATAAGCTTTAATATTCCATTGAAGGAAAGCATATGTGCACCAAGGTATAGATTAGAAGTGACATTAAGCATTAAGACCCTAACTACACACCCATATTGACCTATTGTGTTATGCATGTATTCTAGAGTGTAGTTGGGGGTTTATGCTGTATACACTATTGAGTCCCAGGCAAAACTTGTCCAAAAATGAAACTGATCTCATCAACCAAACTAAACTTATGATGGAATGCTTGTTTAATTTATATATATGTTATTTGGGTACAGGACTGTAAATGTGCGTCTGCAGCTTGGCCTACAACAGTCATGTTTTCTGTAATTAGGAGACCCCATCATGGTGAATGTGGAAGTGGATATGCCAGTCCTGCGCACCACCCTTCCCCGCTCTTTCTCTGCCCCTTACCCACCTCTGGAGGGCATCGCTGAGGAGGGCACAGTAGTGGACACCTGGCAGTGGGACCCTAATGGAGCCAACCAAGCCTGGCAGCAGCAGCTTGAAGAAGACCAGGTCACTGAGGAGGACTACCAGCAGGCTTTGAGGGTAGAGAATTACATCCTAAGTCTCATCCATCGTAACACCCTCTCACCACGACCGTGTCAGCCTCGCACCACCCTGAGCCCCGACCCCCCATATTGCAGTGCCTCTGGACACAGCTCCCTACACAGGAGAACTCCTTCTCTTACGACAGAGCAACGCCTTCCTGACCCCCATCTTCAGCCCCACATTGACCTTTTGGCAAACCCTACGAGCCAGAATTGGGGTTGTGACCAGCTAGAGGGGGAGGCCTGTGGAGGAGAGACCCCATCTTTGGAGGAGGACTGTTATCTGGCTCTGCCCTACCCCCAGTCCAGGCCACACTCTCTGGCTGAGAGGCTACCATCACCTCTGCCCTCCCTGGACCCCAACTGTGGTGTTGGGGCTCTTGACCTTTGTTGTGAACCCACATCCCCCCAGCATTATCTACATCCACAGCCCCCTATTCATCACAAGCACAATTTAGTAAGTGCTCAGTATATCCCTGGACAAGCTTGCCATGCCCCTGTGCGCTCCCCCAGACACTACAACCCTGAGCAACCTAAGCCCAACCGAGCTGTCGCCTCTCCTGAGCACCCCAGTTCCAAGTCTAGAACCTCTAAGAAGAACAACAACGAGCGACAGAGAGCCAAGAAATCAAGCGGAAAAACCAATCGATCCCACTCAGAAAACAGCCTCCTGAGCCAACGAGGGCTGCCTGAGCGCAGGTACAGCACCACTGAAAGGCACCAGAGCAGAGGAGATCTTGCTCAGAGCCAATGCCAGGTCACTGGACCGCAGGTGGGCAACAACGGCCACAGCCAACGCTGGTGCTCCAACCTGGAGCTCAGCCAGGATGAGGGGGAAATCCGTGCAGTGCAGGCACCTAGACGACCACCCCGAAAAACTCGCCATGGTCACTCATGTCCCCATTCGCAACCCCAGAACTACCACCAGCAGCAGCACACCGAACGCTGGCACCCAGACTTTCAGGAGAGAGCACCTCTCTGTCAGGGAGAGGAGGGCTACACTGGTGCTGCCCCCGCCGAGTCCGAGTCCAGCATGAGTGAGGTGTATTCCCCAGCCTCCAGCTCACTGTCCAGTGACTCAGATGAGAGTGGGGGGCTGGTATGGCCTCAGCAGCTGCCACCACGCCTTGCCTCTACATCCTCCTCATCGTCACCTTCACCACAGGCCACTGCCAGTGCTCCCTCTCAACCAAAAGCCTTTGTCAAGATCAAAGCCTCTCATGCTCTCAAGAAGAAGATCCTCAGATTCCGCTCAGGGTCCCTCAAAGTCATGACCACTGTATGAGGACATGATCAAACCTGTTTTAAATCTTTCCTACTGTGTTGTAAAGCCATTCTCAGAGCAACATTGTGGCTGCTACTTTTGGTCACAGTCATATGTTAACTAACCAATCCAGTCTTTATACTCTACCTACCTCTAATTACAGTATGTACTTAGCGAGAGATGCTTACATTAATTGGCATGATTAAAGATCTGCTAGAGATCTCCTGTCTGTAGTATCTGGTTGATTTTATCTTGTACCTGACGACCATCAGACGCTAGACTAATGAGCATTATCCTGCTCTAATTGATGATAATTGATGTGATGCCAAGTTACACTGTGTTGACATGGACCGCACTGAAGCTACATGACTGAATACACTGCCATTTTTTTCTCGATGTCTCTTGGCCTTAGAGTTAATTAATCATCAATTTATGGTTGATTAATTCCTAGTTGGCCATACACAGGTCTACACAGCTGATATTATGACAGTCTGACCAATACATTGTCAAAAGCTTCAAGTCTTGCTAAATACCAAAACTCTAGAAATTAGATTTTATGGCACCGGCTTTTCTAAGAAATTTGGGTAAATTTGCTGTAATTGGTTTCTTGTGAGTACAATGTAATTTGGTACTAATCACAGGGAATTTCCTCAAAAGAAAAGCTCAACTTAAACCCAATAAAATATTTACTGAATAGTCAATTGAATGTTATTGGAAACTAAAAGTCTCATCATATTATTTGAACACTGTCTCCATTTTCCCTCAGATCAGTACCAAATTACATCGCTCTTTCCGGGAAAACATCTCGGAAATGATCTAGAAGTTATTAGGATTTGGAAATTACAGAGCCATCAAATAAAGCATTACTAATGTGTGGTAAGACTTGAAGCTTTACGGCAGGGAGTTGTCCTGCTCTCAGCCAGCATCCTAGAGAAATATCTCTCATCAGTGCAGGAGTGGACAAATGTGTAATGGTCTACAAGTTTTCCCACAGTCTCAAACTTCATAGCCTAATTATGCCTAATCTTTGAGCAGGGAATAGGTGTATATCCCTTTATCGTTATTGTTCATCGTGCTCAGTTCTGCCTCCTTATAAAATGTGGATTCATGCTCAAGTGAACTGTCCACTGCCTCTCTTCTCCAGCCAGCTGCTTTTGGGGCCACTGAGCACAAATAAACAGACCTGTGAGTCAGGAATGGGCTTTAGAGGCCATAGTTAGGGACCAGTGTACATGCATGGATATACAGTATGTTTAAGTGCACAAATTCATTGACACAGGGACACAGACTAACTCATTCTTGTAAATATGTATGTTTTTGTATATACCATCATGTGGCCTTGTTTGGAATGAATGTAGTTTTTAAATAAAGCCAATTTCACTCTTAATTTTGGTACATTAACACATTTTTATTATTTTATTTGTTCTTAAATTTGTGGTGCTTGAACAATAAGATCATTCTAAAAGATCATAAATAGCTATAGGCAATTTGAGAAAAAATACAGAGTAAAAATTATTTTACATTTCATAGACTTCTGCATTTGTCTGAAGTGCATTTATTTGACAAAATGACTAAAGCTCATTTTACCTGTTCAATCTCTCCTTTAGTCCATATCTGCTGTCTTTTATTGACCATATTTTGCACATGGGCCAGTTAGAGATTAGAGTGTTAGCTCCCTCTTGTGGTTCATTGTTGGCATAACTCACTGGTAAATTTACTGTTAAACAAGCATGTAATCAAATCTGTGTGCATGTGTGTTATAAGAACAAATTATGAATTGTTTATTTGATATAATGTTCATTAAATGTCAGTCTATAATTTCTGACCACAAATTCGCGCGCCAACACACACACACACACACACACACACACACACGAACGAACACACACACAGCAGAGATCTGACATGAGATAATCTGTACATGGTGAGCAAAAACAGAAGTGTCAAGTCACATTGCAGATTAGCCAATATTTCCTGACTTGCAATCTGCCAGCAGTCATATCAACATCTTTGCATGGCATGGCAGCAAAAAGTTTTTTTCATGAACTTTGAGTAAAATATACAAGTTTATTAATTATATTTATTATTTGTTATTTCAACTTAAAATTACTAGTTTTTATTTCAGACCACCTCAGAACATGTGCACATTAGTTCTTCAAACTTTAAGTTGTTTAACTTGAAATGATGAATTGAATGGATGAACTTCTTTTATATCATATTAGCAGACCTCCTAGCATGCATTGTTTGAGTGTTAAATCACTCCTGATACCCCTCTTTTTTGTATTATGAAGAAAGCATACATGATAGAAACTTGCTGTGTCTGTAATACATGTTAGGATAAGTCCTGGTTGTTTCTTTTGATGATAATAAAAATAATGATGAAGGTTGGTTTGAAATTTAGTCCCTAGTCCAGTACACTTAGATTTGAACAGAATCACTGGGAGCAGCCTCACACGTTATCTTTGTACTAACTGTACAAACCTGACATTAATAATTGTGAGTGTGACTGAACAGTTATTGATTCAGCTTAATGTCTTAGGTTTATTGAACTTTAGTTTAGTTGAGTGAGCTAAGCTGATTTTACATCTTCAAAACTCACAAGATAATTTTAACTAATTATAAAACATAAATTCCGTTTAATCAGATGTTGAAGACTTACTTACATTTTTATTTACATTCCTTATGGTGGACCATCTTAAAATGATTTACACAGGATTAATTGTAAAAACACTGATGGTTTATGGTGAAACCCAGTGGTTATCCAAGCTCAGAGAAGAGAGTAAGGAGAGTTCACTCCTGTTAAGCAGCACTTCCTAACATCAGCTTGAATGACAGGAGTAATGTGAGAATAGTGAAGACAAAGCCAATACATGATCAGATTTTTGTCATTTCCTTTCCATTGCTGGAGCTCTTTGTATCAGTGGTGGCGATGCTCATCCTGGTCGTAGGGTCCTCGCTGATGAAGTGGAGCATGTTGCGCAGAGAGCGGTTCATACTGTCTTTAAAGCCTCGGCCCAGACACACATACAGCAGTGGGTTGAGGCAGCTGTTGAAATACGCCAGGCAGAGTGCTAAAATGTGTGCCAGGTAAATATTTGGGCTGTGATCGGAATGTCGACGGAAAATCAAAAGGAGGAAGTCTATAATGTGGAGAGGTAGCCAGCACAAGAAGAAGCTCAGTACCACGGCGGCGATGACCCTCAATGTTCTCTTAGAACGGGTCCGACCACGTGACAGTCCATGCTCTGCTCTCCTGTACACCACCCAGTGACAGGTTACAATAACCAGGAAAGGGAGTAAGAATCCCAGGAAGAAGCGGAAGGAGGTGACCACCCAAGCACTGAATTCAGTGTTCACCGTCAGGCACTCTCGCTTGTCTTCACCTGCTTCGATCTCCTTGGTGTAGACAAACTGGGGGATGCTGCCTATCAGAGCCAGGCACCACACAGCAACACACCCACAGGCAGCCTGCTTTGGTCGTCTGTTGTTCTGGCACCAAACGGGTCTGCTGACCATCAACCAGCGATCCACGCTGATCATAACCAGCTGCAGGACACTGCAGTACATCACCAGGTAAAACATACCCTTTACCAGTGTGCAGGCCAGCGGGCCAAAGTGCCAGTGATCATCGTGGGTTAAAGGGACCATGAGCAGAGGGATAGAGAGGCAGCACAGAAGATCGGCCAGGGCGAGGTTGAGGAACCATAGGGAAGTGACAGAGCGTTGCATGCAGAAGCCTGTCACCCACACCACCAGAGCATTTCCAGGAACACCCAGCAAGAACACAAGCCCATAGAAGACCAGAGCCACTATCTGGACCGGTTGGATCTCAGGGGTGAAATTATCAGTAGGAAACACAGGCAGTGTGTAATTAAAGTCAGTTAAAAAACTGTCGTTCATATTCTCATAGTCATCGAATTTCATGGTTGGTTCAAGCTGTAGATGAAAAATAGAAAAAATATATTAATATAATATATCACATTTAGTATCAAGCTTGAATTGACATTATAAGTAGATAGCCAACAATATAGATTAATCTGATGTGAGATATCTTGTAAAACAAATACAGGTAATAGCTGCGTGATTTATACTGTAATTTAAAATTTGATCACATCTCAAAAAAAACCTGAGTTGAATTATCCTATTTAAAATATGTTAGTCTAGTTACAAAAATTAAAACGTAATTTTGGTAATATTTCAACTTACAGTTTCAGTGGCCTGTTGATGTTGCGCTCACACTGCTAATAGGAAGTTATGGAGCTGTTCTGCTTTTCATGTGTTTTATACACTCCCATCCCTCATGCACACACCCAAGACACTTTCACAAGATTCTTTTCTAGACTACAAGTTGTCCGTGAGTTTAGACATGCAGTTTTTCTTGGGAGGAAAATTTATTTAAGAATAAAATGTAATAAAATTATTTACCAGATAAAGTAAAAAATTATGAACACAATTCCACAATTCATGTGGCATCAGACAATAAATTCATAAACATGATGCTGTTTCTTTAAATATAACATGACAAGCTAAAATTAAAAGGTGCATTTCATGTTTTTATTTTATTTATTTTAATGATTAGAGACCCTTCTCTTAGTAGGTCTATATAGATAGATAGATAGATAGATAGATAGATAGATAGATAGATAGATAGATAGATAGATAGAAAATTTTACTCTTTAATCTAACTGACACTTCAGTTTGCCTGCAAGGGATCGATCAAGTTAATCTTATCTTGTTTCTGTCACCTCTAAATAAAACATGAGGATGAACAAAACTGTTTGAAATCAGGATGTGCATGTGTACTTGGCAAATGTTACTAGCACATTGCTAACAGTTTTCTATAGGCTTTCCAGGTCTGAAAGCAGTAGTTTATGTATCGTTGTTGGGTAGTAGTTCACACGCACATATACACATATATATTCGCACCAAAATTAGAGAACCGAAAATGCTGATTTAGCTATTGCTGGTCGTTTTTTCTGTTAAAAATATATTTTTTAATGGGATGGGAATCTAAAAATAAGTGTTGTTTCAGGGCTGTTTTAGGGTGTTTTCTAAGTTAATGATCTCTTCTAAAGGCATATGCATTTACAGGTTGACATGATCTACCAAACTCAACACATCCAAACAGAGCATTAGGATGTTTAAAGACTTGTTAATCTCACTGGTGAGTGTAAAGTGGGTGAGTATGACAACATGTTCATCTCACCAATTAGTGTCAAGCCTTGCTGCTAACTGTTTGAAACAAAAGCAAAAATGAGGCAGTCTGTGAGAGTTTGTAGATGGTTTTCAATATAGGCCTACTTTCCACAGTTTGCATTGAGTAATGTTCATGTCCAAGATCATGTATTGTTTCAGAGATTAATTTATTAGGCAGTATTTTCTATTTGGCAAAAAAAAAGTGATATAAACCTTCAGCATCCACAAATCCTCTCCTGTATTAATGGGACAATTATGCTTTATTGTCAAGTCCATAATAATCATTTTACAGTAACACAACAACTTTTTCATATATACAAGTTATTCACAAATTATCCTACACACAAATTAGAGCATTATTACACAAATACAATTCTCAGTAGCATCTACAGCTGTTGTGATGAAAAGCTGCCTAGAGCTGCCTTCCTTTTTTTGTTAAATACACATGACAAACAAAACAAATGTCCAATCCAAGGTTATAAGAATGAGCAGTGATTTACGGAACCTTTTGGAAAATGCTGATTTTAAGGATTACAACATTTGTCTGTATTTGTTATTCACATTATGTGTCAAATGAGAAATCTGATCCTGATGAAATGGCTGCCTTTGTGAGAAAATTCAAATTAAATGATGCCTCAACAGAACGTGACCAGGGAAACCACTGTGACCAGTTTTAAAAAACCACAGCTTACAGTGCTCAACAAATTCAACAAAGAGCAAAAACAGTAAGTCAATCCAGAGAACAGCCAACACACTTTACAGCACTTTAACAAATACTGTACATAATGAGGATATAACCAAGTAAATGTCCTCAGATGTCACCAGTGATGATGAGAACGATGATCAATGATGTTAATTCACGTACAGGCTGTTATCTGTGTCAGAGACGAAAGTGAAGTATCGATAATGAACAAAACACAAACTAAAGAAAATTTCTTGCCATGCCAACATGTATTCTTTGCCTTATGACATCACTGAGCCCTTAAAATTAGGAAATAAAGGGGGAAATGAAACACAAAGTCACAGCGTCAGCAAAATTTTCCCTAACATTTAAAAACCTGTAAAGACACCATGTTGCTCAACTCTCTATCACCAGCGTCAGCGAGCTGACTTTTGAGTGTCAGAGAATGTGCGTTTGTGTATTTACGTCCCTGTTCGTGTTCTCATGTGCAGGCATGTATATGGCTTTTCTTGGACGCACTCATATAAATGAGAGCATAAATTTCACAGTTGCCATGTAGCTGTGTATCAATGACATTGGTTTTCAGTTCACACTTTGAATGTCAAAGTCCCGGTTGCTATGTTTTGTCATAGATGTTGACATACTTGATAGCGGGATGTTTCCTCACTGTGTCATCAGAGGTGCAGAGGTCTTAGGGGTTAAGTCAGTTGAGGGCCGGAGCACTGCTCGGTGGAAGTGTGGGAGTGTCATCTCGAAAGGCATCTGACTGAAGGTCTGCAGAAAAAAAAAATTACACTGTCTTTTTGTTTTTTAAACATTTAACATCAAACTTTTGGCTTTTACTGTACATTGCACAATACAGCTTAGAACGTGTACAGCCTGCATTTTCAATATTAACTCCCTTAGAGGTCCACAGTCAGTCCAATCAGGTTTTTGAGCTGACAGCATGGAAAATTTGAAAACTAAAATCATTAATTCTGGGTAGCTGTCATTTAAAAATGCAAAGTTAAGCAATAGAATCAATATGGTGTTTTGTCTCTTTTTTGTAAATGTTTATTTTTCAAAGTAACTGAGCTTATAGAGTCAGGTTTAGAAATTCTCCAAGGTGTTGACTTGGTTTGGCTACTTTATATGTTTTCCCTGTTCATATGAACATAACATTCCCAAGCAACCAAAGAGTATAATATATCAAAACCCTATTTTTTTTAAAACAAAATCAGGATGTGCATGTGTACTTGGCAAACGTTACTAGCACATTGCTAACAGTTTTCTATAGGCTTTCCAGGTCTGAAAGCAGTAGCTTGTGTATTGTGGTTGCTAAAAGCATGCTGTCTGGGTAGTAGTTCACACACATATACACACACATATTCCCACCAAAATTAGAGATCCGAGGTGGCACAAAAATGCTGACTTAGCTATTTCTGGTTGTTTTTTCTGTTAAAAATATATTTTTTAATGGGATGGGAATCTGAAAATAAGTGTTGTTTCAGGGCTGTTTTAGGGAGTTTTCTAAGTTAAAGATCTCTTCTAAAGGCATATGCATTTAAAGGTTGACATGACCTACCAAACTCAATACATCCAAACAGAGCATTAAGATGTTTAAAAAGACTTGTTAATCTCATTGGTGAGTGTAAAGTGGGTGAGTATGACAATATGTTCATCTCACCAATTAGTGTCAAGCCTTGCTGCTGGTTCAGTATAACTGATGTCTCCTCATCCTCTTCCTCCTCGTCTCCCCAGTCTGCGATGTTAGCTGGGGGGATGCACTGCTCTAAGAACAGGTCCTCCTCGTCTTCCTCCATGTCCATGTTCTCTGGAGGCCAGCGCAGCTCTCCACTCTCCACCTCGCTCACTTCTGTGGGTTCCACCACGATGGAGGGCAGACGCTCCTTCCCATGGTCCTGGTCCAGGCTGTTCAAGGAGGTCTCTGGGCCCAGGACAACCTCGACAGGGTCAGGGAAGATCTGGGGGAAAAAGGTGGAAGAGCTGACTGAGAAGTGAGTGGACAAAGTCAAACACACACACACACACATACACACACACTTATTGTGTCTCACAGTTTTTAATCCCTGTTTTTATCAGCGTTTGTGTCCCTTCTGTCAAGCATTTTGAGACAAACCTGTTTTTATATTGTCTAGATGTGATGAATTCAATAATTATTTGAACAAGTGTGGTCGCAGAATGGTGATGGAACATACCTGGAATGGCAATCTTTGGTCTTTCCTTTGCATGTCTTCACAGATTGGATCTTGACCACTCATCTCCTCCATCCCTCTGCAGAGACATTGCCATAATCAGAATAGAACAGAAACTAGAAATATACAAGCACTATAAAAGAACTAGTGCCATTCTCAGCATGTAACCCGTATTAGCATCCACTTCCTTTTCACACATCTAATGCCTGTCTCATGACTCTCTTTGTATGTTGTGAGCAAGTTTTGCAGAACTACATAGTATTGGAATTTGTCTTAGAACCACATAAGCCAAGTTTTCTAAATCATTTTACTTTACAAATGCAGACTTGATAAGACTTTAGGAACCTCCTTAAAATCCCATTAAAACCAATTAGGTAACCTTAGGAAACTCTGCAGAAACTCTTAGAAATCCCATTCAGAAAGTTGTTAAAATACATTTTATTGCAACAATAGAATTAGAATTCATTTATAAATCTAGTATCGGTTTTGGAGGGAACTTCATACTAATTCATATTCAGTTCCTTTAGAAACAAATTTTCTCCAAAGTTTTGAATAAAAGATGTCATGACATTGATTTTATCACTCTCGGGTCCTGTGCTTCTCTAAATGATTATTTGCTTGTCAAAAACATACTTTGCGCATCTCCAGCATTTGTTAGATGAATTATGTTTCCCACCTAAAACATTACAACAAATGCAAACAATCTTCCATCTGACAATATGCGATGTGGCCCTACATTAAAAAAAGAAAATTTGGCCTCTTGGCTGCTTACATGGCCTTGTAACCCTCACTTTTACATGTCTCTATGAGTTGTCCACAGCACTGAGGGCCACAGTCTGACATTCAGTTGCACTAGATGACATCACTTCATCCAGTTTTCTATCAAAAACAAATCTGTCATGCCCTCCTCATGCCCCATGTGACATAGCTGATTTACAGTTGTATCAAAGCATCCAAAGTCTCCTTTTGCCTTTTGGTTGGTCGGAGATTTTCTGTCCTACATCTCATTGGCCAAAGTTGGTCTGACTATTTGAATTAGGTGACTATGTGCAAGTGTGTAAGTCTCCTAATACACACATACACACTGAAACACACTCATACTCCAGATTAGAGCAGAACTCAAATAAGGTTTGATACCAGAATGGATTATGTCATTTGACCCTCATATTTAATTTTTTTACTGTGAGCCTGGCAGAATAAATGCACTGCTTTGGCTCAGTCAGCTCTTACAAATGGCCGTGAGCCTTAACAGCAAAGGCCTTTGATGTGTCATTTCTCAGCCACTATTTGCAGACCAAGACATTACCTTCAAAAACCAAAGTCACCCATTTTCTTTTAGTTAAGCCCTGATCCTGTAAGTTGGAATCACAGCCTGCAGTATACATAAAGTTCTCACTTGTTTCAGATATATGCATGAGCCTGTGTCCATATCCAACCTCAATCTGTTTATGCAGAAGAGCCGATGGGAGGATTAAGAAGAACTGAGGATCTGTCTGAATCCTCTTTTTATCCCTCTCTCCTGCTCCCTCTCTCGTTTTCCCACTATGTCTCAGTGTCTGCTCTCTCTCCGTAAGTACCAATCAGGGTTTGTTTTCATCCAGGGGCCTGGTGTAATGACACAATCTGTTAAATCTCACTCACTCTTTAATTTATTTTCCGTTTAAAGACAGATTTAATCTCTAGTCTTTCTGTTTTAGACTCTCTATCGGGTATTTTTTGGTATTTGCCAGCAGAAGCATCAATAACATTAATAACATATCAATAAGTGAAAAATCAAACTATTTTGAAAGTGCTTGTGAATCTTTCCTGGAAATGCGGTGTTGAGTTTTTGGCAGTGAACAAGAGGATGTCGAGCAGGAAAGGATGTAAATATAAAGCAGATGTGTATGCTGCCTTGGATATACCGCACATGATGGATATAGACACTGAGCATACAAATTAAAGCATGGGTATATATTAATGAAGTAAAGGAGAGGCTTTTACTTTGAAAAGATATAATCACCTGAGCAAATCTCACAGCTGCTCAGGTCAAATCTAATGATATTCCATCAGCCTCTGCTGTATAGCTACTTTGTGTTCAGTGCTAATTAGTAAATGTTAGCATGCTAACACACTGAACTAAGATGGTAGATGTTGTGAACTTTTCATTTCCTAAACATCTGCACGTTCACATTGTCAGTGTCATTTTTGCATTCTGATGTTAGCATTTAACTATGAGGACCAAGACAGGTCAACACAATGCGAAAGCCACAACATGAATGCTAAAGCAACAACAAATGCAAAATGCAAATTATGTGCCAATAGAAATTAAGCCACAACAGAAGTTAAGCAACAACAGAAGCAAGTTTGAGAAATATTCAATAAGCTTCAGCTCAAGTAGTAAGTCAATAGTATGTTAAAGATCAGTTTAACTGTGACTGTTCAGATCACCAGCTGCAAACATGGGCTAAAAGTGTCTCACATTTGTTTTAAAATAAATACTGGATTGTGTCTGACAGCAACAAGGGCTTCAGTTTCATTTAAATGGATTAATCAGAGGGAAAAAAATTCTAGTTCAACAATTGAGAATGTCAAAAATTGCATCAGATTTCATCAGTGGATTTCTCTCTCACCCCCCACCCCTCTCTCTCTCTCTCTCTCTCTCTCTCTTTCCTTCTTCCTCTCTCTCACTCAAATTGATTTTAGCCGATGTGTCTTTCTTTCAGACCGCTTGAATTTGATAGATTTCAGACTGGCTGTTTCTAATCAACATGCGTATGTTCATTGTACAATATGACAAATGAGGAAACACTAAGCCAGTTTGCACAGCCGTCAAAACGAGGGCACCCTGTTCTCGTCTAAATAGGATCAGCTTTGGGAGGATGCTATCATTTTTGACCTACTTGTGAATGTGTGCAGCCCTACAATTCAATATCTGATATTATGCTGCTGACAACTGTGTCGCGCTAAGCTGTTTGTTTGCCACCTGGGATGGAAACTTTCAGCAGCTATTATGATGAAGAAGCTTAACCTCCATGTAATCCCCCTCATATACACTCCCTCTAAACACCTGCACGTTTTAGCTCAGTCAACAATCAGTCTTTGTTTGTGGAACGTACTGTGTTTTTCATGCCAAAAAAATTCTCCCTCTAAAATAAGATAAAGTACTATAAATTGTATGATTAAGGCTGGTTTGTAAATCCCAAACTACTGAAGGAAAGATAAAGACCTCAATTAAATGTTGAGTTAAACTCACAAGCCTTACAAATCACATTTTAACATTATCTGTAGATAAAAATAAGATTTCATATTTCTGTAATGAGCACAAGCCAAAATGTGAAATTGCAAATTGTCTATTGCAAAACTTAGATGTCTTCTAGGTGAAACCAATGCCTGACTTCAATCTAAACAGGATGAAACTAAGATTAGTGTCATCTGGAACAGGAACCCATGACCGGTCAACTATCACTATGAAAGATATAAAATTTGTGATACAGCAGTTTCCTTGTAACATGCTGTTCAAAGGAACTAAATGAAATGGTGCTGATGACATTTTGTGTTTTCCTGATTTATCGCAGCTCTTTTACATTTTGTAGATTGGCCTTTTTTTGTGGGGACCTCTCAGAGCAGTTATGTTTTCTTGTTATTATGCTAACGCACAGTACTTTCCACACACACACACACACACACACACACACACACACACACAGAAGATTATAGATTAGAGGTGTGTGATGCACTATCATAGGGAAATTCAGCCTCAGAAAAATCTTTAATTCTTGCAAGTGTGAATCATATTTGTGTCTAAAATACACACATAAACTTCAGTAGGCTCTTACCCTTCAGATGCAGTCAGGCAGATGTCTTCTCCATCTTGGCACAGCTCCACAGTGGTGAAGCCTGGCTCCTCCACAGTGAGTACAGGTGACACGAGTGGGGACGCAGGGGGAGGGGAGCAGCTCCCACAGCATTCCCCCTCCTCAGAGCCCTCAACGAGGCTTTTGGCCTCCAGGGCGAAGCCTGGATGGGGGGGGGGGTTCCTAAAAACCCTCAGGTATCCCAGAAGTTTACCAGAGGATCAAGAGGTGGAGGTGTGCCTGGTTTCCTTTGTCAATCAGGACAGCACCTGTCTCACTTGTCCGGATCAGTACTGAGTCTGCCTGCTAGCCCAAAGCCTGCATGCGCTCCCTAGTCTCCTGAATCCAACTTCCTTCCTCATGTCTCTCTCATTATCCCTCCCTGTCCCACCCCACCCACTCCCAGGCTTTGGAGAGGAGCGGGATTAACGTCTCTTTCGATTACAGAGGCTGGATGGGTGACGTCAGCCAGGCTTGACAGTCTCCTCTGATGAGTTGGCACACTGGGTCGCGGGTGCATCTGTAAGGAAACACATAAAGGGCACACAGATGGCACATGGCCTCACTGTTGATGGAGGCTAAATTGACTAAAGCGGAGTATTACTACTCACAAAATAGTTATGGAGAATTGCTGAACAACTTAATATTAGCTCCTTTCTATCCCATTCAGTCTATTGCTCCGCTATCTATTTCTCTCTCTTTCTCTCTCTCTCTGTCTCTCTCCATGTCTTTCCAACTGTGTGTGCTGTTGCCCCATGAGTGGATTTAGATTTGGACGATTCATGGAATTAGCCTAGGGATCAAGGGCTCAGGGGTGGGGAGGGGAAAGATATATATATATATACTGTATATATATATATATAACAGGCACCAACTATTGCTAAACAGACAGAGCACTGTTAGCAGCAGTGTGTAATCTCCTCTGTGGGCTAAGTCAGCAGGCTATATATGGCATAAGGTAGTAAAGGAGCTGTTGTAACACGAAGGGCGTCCTGCTTCTCCAGAACTGTGGATTCCATTGAATGAAAGATTGAAAACTGAAGACATATTTTTGCACTCAGCCTGTGCTGGACGATCAGTGCTTCCTCTTAACTCAAGTGCATGCAGATTTATGTGGTTGTTGCGTTCACCCAATTACTGCATTTCAGACTTTCCAATGTGTCCAAACAAAATATATACTGACATCTTAATCCTGGCATTAAGTTAGATAACATCAGGTTTTAAATGACATGTTAAGACATTATTTGATGCAGATGAGATTGGTATGTCAAACAGAAATTGTCATGACATGTAGGAAAAGCTCGGGTGTTACTATTAACATAAAGGATGGCCAGTAATGGGCATGACAGTGTGACAGCGAGCCATCATGCACAATACCAGGACCATGCAACTAAAACAGCTACAATTTTCCTATTGTGACATGTCAAACTGGTGTCTGTGATAAAGACAAAAATCAGATTCAGGAGACAACTTCAACAGGCATGTTGAATAGATTAAAGGCTGGAACATTAGTAGAAAAACACAATAAGTGAACAGAACACTAAACAGCCAAACAGAACGCAGTCAGCCTCAATGTTACAAGTTACACCAGTGCTTTTGCTTTTATTATATTTTGTGGTGTGTTATATTCTAAGTTTATGTATATATAGTCAAAGTCAAGTCTCACATGGAAGTTTCCCACATTGCTATCTAACCAATGTTATCAAGTGCGAACTGGATGCAGGTGTGTAGTGCACTGTCATAGGGGAATTCAGCCTTGGAAAAACCTTTATTTCTTGCAAGTGTGCATCATGTTTGTGTCTAAGATATACACACAGACGTCAGTAGACCCTTACCCCTTCTCCACAATGGTGAAGCATGGCTCCTCCACAGTGAGTACAGGTGGGTTACCAGCAGTGTGTAATCCCCTCTGTGGGCTAAGTCATAAGCTATATATGGCACAAGGTAGTGAAGGAGCCAGTGCAACATGAAGGGCGTCCTATGTCTGCAGAGCTTTGGAATTGTGAGAGATTTTTACCACTGTTGCGTGATCAGGACAGTGCTTCCTCTTAATTCATGTGCTTTCATAATATGTGGTCATTCAGCCAGATTCAAGTTGGTTGGTTTAACCGTTACTCACTCATATTGTCCACCACAATACTGTGTGAAACATTGCAAATCAGTGATCTCACAATTTTGGTTATTTATGAAAGAGAACCAAAAATACCTGTGTTGTGGAATTTCCAAAGTGATGAAAACACCTGCTTACTTGTCAAGAAAATCTTGTTTTGCTAAAATGAAGCCAGGACAACACGTAAAAGCCAGAGGCAAAGGCATCACAACTGATTACCAGTTTGTGAGGGTTTTGTTTTCTCGGCTCTGCTCTTAGGCTTACTCTCTAAATCTGTCTTATACTGCCGCTTGTGGCAAGTTGTGAAAATGTTGTAGCACTGATACGGAAGAGTAATATCAGTTTAAAGAAATCTGATCAAAAATTTTAAAATGGGATAAAACATAGATATGATTAATGCAACCCATAAAAGAGGAACAAAAATAATAATTAATATTAAGTTCCTGAACTTTTACTATAGCTGTCAATTTTCACTTCCAGTTCTTGTTTGGGTTTAAGTTACAGTTCAGTGTATGCACATGTGATTAAACTTGCATCCTCTGTTGAGGATTGACCAAAATACTTTTAAAAAATTTTAGAAATTTAAAAAGAAAAAAGAAACACCTTGACAGACAAAATCTTAAATACCAGTAGAGAGACCTAGCCGGAAAAACAAAAGTCAACAACTCATCACAACCTATAAACCAGATATACAACTTCAGCCCACGCCTCTGCTTGTCTGTCTACCTTTGAAGCATTCTCTTGCAAGACAGCAACAGGTAAGAAGCGCTTTGCTCCAAAGTTACATTTGTTTAATTCTGTCCAAAATTAGTATAAAAAAAAAACTTTTAAAAGGACTTGCAAATAATTCTTATAAGGCTTGCCCTGGAGTGTTAGTATGTGCTTGTTTTGCATTGATTAGAGAAATGCAGTGAAATTCAGATAGAGAGAGGAAATGTTAGTAGGCTACTCAGTCCATTGTGTGGTATACTGGAAACATCTGTTACATGTCATTGTGTAATCTTGTGTATAACTACCATTCATTTTTGTCTTACAAGTCTAGAAGTTTTAGTCATGGCTTATGTCCCTGGCCGCGGAGACAGCATTTCACCACCGGGTAAAAAAAACAAGAAGCATTTTTAACATCATTATATCTCCCTATAACCCCAGTGTTTTCCAGCAATTCATAGAACTACATTTTGAATTACAAATTCTTGGTAAAACTGTCCCTCATAACGATTATGAAGTACTTTGAATCTAACTATGACCACCTATTGAATATGATTTTTAAAAGAGTGAAACATAATGTTCAGCCCCCCTCCCCATCCCAATAATTTTCATATCTCTAACTGATTTGGTTTGGCTGTAAACAAAGTCCTTACTCTGATTACCATGTCACCCACTCCAGGCACTGTGGCCTTCACAGCCAAGCTGGACATCTGTGACAGCTACCCAAAACACTCAGGAGTCCTGAAGTTTGCCACTGTGCTGCTCAACGAGGGAGGAGGCTACAGTCCTGACACAGGCATCTTCACCTGCCCTGTGGATGGCTTCTATCACTTCACTGTGCATGTGTCTGTGTATGGGCGTGGACAGTGTGCTATATACAAGAATGCAGAGAAAGTAGTGTCTCTGTATCACACCTCCCTCCCTGATAAATGTAGCCAAGTGGCCAGTGTTAGCAGTGTGGTGAAACTGTCTGAGAAGGACACAGTCTGTGTGAATGTCTGGGGGCCTGGCAGAAACGATATCTTTGCAACTGAAGATAATGACACTGTCTTTGTTGGAGTTTGTTTGAGTTAAAAAAATAAAAATAAAAAAAAAACTCTGTGTCAAACTGTCAATTAAGTCAAGGTGATTATTGGATTAGTTTGTTACATTAATGTTACATTGGTTTGAATCTTTTGTTTGTGTTTTGTTAGCCCTTTCTTGGTGAATATGTGAAAAAGTGTGTTATGTGTAGGGTGTTTTATGACAAAACCAAACCAGAACCGAAAGCTTTAGTCTTTGCATCAATAAATTTGGCATTTTGATGGCATAAACTGTGTTTTTCAATTACAATAAGCCAATAATAATAAGATAATATGATAATACTGTATAAGGCTTTAATGAAAAAATAATGTTTTTTCTGTCTTCCAACACCTAGGAGGCGCTGTCTCTAAAATCATCACATATTCAGAAGTTCACGCATGCGCAGATAGCGTGTTTTCAAACGGCAGGACGCGATAGCGGCAGCGTAAAGTGACTGAGCATCACATTTGTTGTATTTGTCAAGTTTTATCTTCCAGCACTAGTTTCTCCAATGGATTTAGATAGCGGGACATACGAGCCAGGATTTGTTGGGATACGGTTTTGTCAGGAATGGTGAGTCTGTGATCGGGCAGAAGTTAGATAAGTTAACCTAGCCGGCTAGCTACACGCCTGTTAACCTAACGTTGTCTTAACGAAAGGCTAGGCTTCGTCTTATTTTATGGAATCATTGAAAACCTCAGGAAGCCACTAAACACGCCTCCCCTGTTTTCCAGTAACAACATGTTGTATCCTAAAGAAGACAAGGAGAACCGTGTCCTGCTTTATGCGGTAAGTGTCTTGCCACTTGGCTGTGTTATTAAGTTGTGAGCCCACTTCAAACTATAACTACTGCCGCAGTCTTACGGTTTCCTTACTCAGTCTCCCTCTGTACAACCCACAGCAACCTCGGGATGTTCTGTTTAGTTTACCTGGAAAGTACACAAAACTAAGTGATGAAGTCATGAAGTGGCGCTCAAATCATGCATCAGTATGAGTCATTTAAATGTTCATCTTGAAGTTTATGTGCAGTGCAATGAGTCTGAGTGAAGTAGGGGTCACTCGAAACTTGCACATGGTTACACTGATATAATGTTATAATTTTTTTATTTAAACCTCAAAAACTACTATAAATATTGTAACAACGAAAATCAATTAAAATGGGTGCAAACGGAAATTAAAAGGTTAGAGATTAAGAATTTAAAATGATCAAGAGGTACCAACAAATTCATTTTTTAAGTGCTTTAGCCAAAGGCAGTTCTTACAAAATCAGTATGAACTTAGGGAACATGGGACAAAAGCCAGGTGTAATGGTGTAAATTATCATGGAAACAATATATGAAGGCAGTTTTCCAATAAGGGCCTTGTAAATAAATAAGTATGCAACTCATAGGATTATGTAAAGGTTAAAAACCCTGGGCTATATTCCAGAAGGCAGATACGGTGAAAGGTTTTCACAAACACTTTAACACTTATTGTTATAACTCACCTGCTGGCACCAGCACTTTGTCTTAATCAAGCTACAGTTGAATAATTAAGTAGGGGTCCCTCTTTATCATGTATTAAGGAAATTCAAGGCAGTTAAATAACAAATGAGTGGATTACGCTGAATGAAATGCAGTAGTATTAACTTATTGACTCTTTTCCACTCCAGCTCAGACTCTTTCACTGCCACTGTTGTGTTTTTTATAACATAAATGTGCATTGTCACACATTATTATTTCTAGCTCCAGTGGGTTAAAAAAGACACTCTCCTCTTTATTTACCCGTTACCATCGTGAATCGTGGTAGTGAGCGTAGCTCCATTGATGATGGGCTTTTTTCATTCCCCACGAACTCACCTAATTCACAGTGAACATACTCAGAGTTGACTGAAATAACTCCTTACTCATTTAGACTAAACAAAAGAGCTTATGAGATGGCTTGTTGTGACACCAGAAGGCGGTGTGCTGAAATGTCCATTGTATGCCTGTAATAATTTTTCTGAGTGCCTTATTTGTTTTTTTGTTTTGTTTTTTTAATTATCTCAACCCACAGTGCAGGAATTGTGACTACCAACAAGAGGCAGACAACAGCTGCATCTATGTCAATAAGATCACCCACGAGGTTGAGTGAGTAAAAGAAACCATAGTGTCATACAAATTATCAAGATGGTGATTTTTGACACTGACAAATGACACTGCACTTTCACCACCGCTTTAATATCTGATCTTCTTGTTATCCAACCACTAATGGGCTTTGAAGAGATCAAAACAATTGGTCGTAGACAAGTGACCCATTTATAGTTTCAGGTGTGGACTGGCTGTGTTAATTGTGCGCATCTGTCCTTAATTTTAACGGGAAAATTAGTAAAAGATTACCCCTTGGTGTTAACTGTGCACATACGAATCAAAGCAAAATATCTGCCACCTTTGCATATTTAACGTGTAATTTCAGTCATTTGAGGACTATTTCTTGACCATCTTTTGTTTTGCTCTTTCTCCAGTGAGCTGACGCAGATCATCGCTGATGTATCTCAGGATCCAACACTACCAAGGACAGAGGACCACCCCTGTCCCAAGTAAGTTTTTCTATAATCAGCTGGCCACACTCATTCTCTTTGGGCAGCCCTAATTGTTTTGTTAAGGGTACTAACACACTGCTCTGTTAGTTTGGTGCCAATATTCAGCATAGTTGGATATGTAAGGGTGGTCAGTGCTGGAAAACAACTTTGGCCTATGAGCTTCATCACATGATTTTTGACCACCAGAGGGCAGAAAGTTGACTCCTTAACAACTCATCAGGTTCTTTTCTCTAACATACTTGCAGTTACACTTGTGGCTAAAATAGTAATCTTATTTGAGTCTTCCTTCTCCGTACCTGAATAATGTAAGCCAAAAATATATTGGGAATTAAGCCCTTTTTGGGCCTGACGTCTTGGAAGAATAATGGTGTGTCTTCAGTTTGCTGGATGTCGATTACTTCTGTTCTATTTTGAACTGGGCAAGTATGGTCGGTTTGTGTACTCATGATTTTAATATGGGGAAAGGTGAGTTGGAGTGGTTGACTATATGAGGAAGAAAACCTGAACGATTGGCAGAAAGCAGCTGAAAGATGTATTAACCTACAGAATGGAGAGTTGATTCTTTATGAGCTGGACTGTTTCTGTAACAGCTTCTTCCCATAACAGAGTGATTTGATTCAATATATCAAAAGTCTTGTCTGACATAGCTTTTAAATTTGCTCCAGAAATGACTATGTTAAATGTATGTAGGGCAGAATAACATCACTTTTGAGAGTTGTTGAGTCCAATTACAGACAGCGTGTAGTGACAAATACTTCAGGGAAACACAAACTAAACATAGTCGATCACACTTTGCTGTAGTCATCTGAATCACTCTACAGCCAAATTGATGACTCATGGTGGTAGTCACCAGAGCCACGAGAACCAACACAGCGCACGCCTTGCTGACTTAACACGAACATTGTCATTTTTTTTATATTGAAGTCTCTACCCATTATCATCATCATTATGTAGTTATCTAAAATTTTGCCACAGGTTTCTTCACATATGCCACTTGTTTCTCTTTTCTCTTTAGAAGTTTTAGATGGGGCCTGGAATTTTTGTGTAATCTGAGAGGTGTGGTCACATGTAAAAAAACTCTAATAATCTGGCCAATATCTTGCACCACAAAGTCTCAGTGTGGTTTTACACAACAATCAAACTGACTGTCAAATATCAGAGGCGTCGCTGTTACATAATGACACTAATTCTGGTTCGACATACATAAGCCCAGTCTCGTTATTTAATGGCCACATATCATAAACACTCATACATATAGGAGCATAGCTCTTTTTGGACTGATTGTGAAATGAGACATTGTGCCATTGAGTGGTAGGTTGTTTGAAATAAAGTATTTTCTAACATTGTGCATATACCCTCTCTTCCCAGATGTGGTCACAAGGAGGCAGTGTTCTTCCAGTCTCACAGTATGAAGGCTGAGGTAACCATCACTTGTAATTAAATACAGTATGCATGAACTTTAGCCTTTATATTGTTTGTATATGAATACATTTACCATCTTTCTGTGGCCAGCAGCATACCATGAATGAAATATTAACAGTAGTGTGCAAAATTGTACCCAACTGTCCATTGTCATCCACACTTATCCCACCCTCCTACCAAAATCAGTGATCAAAAACTCAGTGAGGAAATACTTTGTCCTGTGGTCCACACATCTTTTGTTCTACCGTTTCTCCTAACAGGATGCTATGAGACTGTACTACGTCTGCACGGCTCCTCACTGTGGACATAGATGGACAGAGTAAAGCTGGTGATGATGAAGAGGTCTGACATTTGCATCTACAGTACTGCCATTCACACAAAAAAATGCTCCTAGCTGCAGCTCAAATAGATATTTTTATTCTACTATACAAGTCAGAATTCTACACAAATTGGTAAAAATGAATATGATATAATATCTTACTGTACAATTTGCAGGACTGTTGATGTTTGTAGACCCTGAAATCTTCTTTGTATGACATGGTTGTCAGACACCATCTTGTGAATATAATGTATCAATAGTTTTTTAACAGTCGTCCTTTTCAAAATGTGTTTTGTTAGATTAAAAGAATCAGTTGTTTCAGATGTCTCTGAGTATTTACTGAAACATGTAAGACATAGTTTTGTTCATATAAACATGTAACAAATGCTTTTATAGATATTCGCATTAGTGGAAAAACCCATGCTTTAGTCAGCAAAGAGAGTGTCCTCTACAGTAGTTATCGGGGTTATACCGTGCATTATTTCCTCTTACTGTAAAAGCATGAATGTTGGTTGATTTTGCAAAAAAAAAGGTACTACAGATTTCATCATTTTGAAGCAGTCATCCCTGATTTGGGGAAAAAAAACTTCCACCGTTTTGCTGTTACCATGTGGAATGATGAATGTTACAGTCCTACTTCCTCTTTTCTCAAATATATATTCCAAACAAGACGTTTGCGTAACTGTGGACTATTACTCAGCCAACGTGACCACTCAGCAAATAACTCATTTTCCCATTGAAGTGGCATGCATCCACATGCAACAAGAACAACAACGGTGTACTTCCCATGACCACACCTCCTGACACAGGTTCTTTGAAAAGGCAGCTGCACAGTCTGCTGCTGTTCATTCATCACAACCAAAGGCAACTGTGCACAGAATGATGGCACAAAAAGGTATGACAAAAAACTGCATTACACTAGAGATGTTTCACTCGGAGATCTTGTTGCAATGATTGTTGCTGATTACGTCTTCAGTAATGACATAAGCCGGCTTTTTATTTTGAATGTGCTTTTGATTGTCTTCAAATTGCTTTTCAGTGAACATTGTGTCAAGAGCGCAGTGGGGAGCAGCTGCCCCCAAACAGAAGGAGAAACTGAAAAGCGCGGCCCAAAGAGTCATCATACACCACACTGCCCTCCCAAGCTGCAAAGGCCTGACAGAGTGTAAGGGCCGCATTCTCAGCATTCAGAGAGGGCATATGACAGACAGAGGCTTTGATGACATTGGATATAAGTGAGTAGCTTTGTTGCCTTTAGATGTCACAAGGAATAAATGATTATTTGATCCTGGCAAATTTAGTTTTGCATGTGCAACATGGACAAACTGGGTTTTCAATGCTAAAGGATGCTCAACAATACTTTGTATATGTTTCAGTTTTCTCATCAGAGGAGATGGTACAGTGTTCGAGGGCCGTGGCTGGGGTGTGGTAGGGGCACACACCAAAGGCAAAAATCATGACTCAGTGGGGATTGCCTTCATGGGCAATTTCAACAGTAGGTACATTTATTTACTTTTTGTATTGTGGCAGCAATGAAAACACATATGTCTATGGAGAGGGGAAAGAGCTATAGTTTCTTATGAAGGCAGTGACATACTATTCTGGAGACATTTTCTTTGCACAATATGCATACAGCATAGAATGGTAAAGTTCTGATGATAATGATAAACGTCTTCTGATTTCAGATGAAACACCAAGCAAAGAGGCAATATTGTCAGTGAAACAGCTGCTGCAGTCTGGACTTTCCCAGGGCTTTTTATCTAAAGAGTTTCCTGTGTTTGGGCACAGAGATCTCGGAGAGACAGAATGTCCAGGAGAAAAGCTTTATGCTGTGCTACCACAACTGAAGGGTAGCACATAAAGCCTGCTGCAAATTGTGATCGAAAATTCTTTCCTTTTGGCACATAAGCCTCAGCCTTTGGTATAAACAGGGTAACACAGCTTCAGAGATAAAACACTAACTCTCCAATCTGTTTCTTTTCTTTTCAATTTTTTATTATGGGTCTTGAAACACAAGTTTCAACACATATTCACAGCCCATCTCTCTTGCAGCAGAGGGAGCCCTCACATGGGATGAGACCTACAGGCGCTAGTTGTCAATGAGATCATGTCAGAGTGGCTCACACTTTCTTTTAGTTTGTCATCTTATTTTTTAAGTTAATTGAGTCTAGGTGCAATATTAATATGGTGTGCAATACATTTTCCTTAGAAATACTCTGTTTGATATTGTTATTAGTGCACCATGGTGTAAAATAAACATTCACATGGATTTAACCTGTTCTAATGTTATGCTACGTGTCTTTTGGAAATAAACACTAATTATCAGCAATATTATCACTATTTGATTTATTTTTCATTTATGTAAGGAATTTGCTTGCCTTCTACCAAAAAGGTCAGAGTCTGCCACCAAGTAGCACTGCTGCTTGGATTTCACCGTCTGGGTCACGGACACTTGAGCAGGGATCCTCCAAACAGAACTAATTCAAACAGCAATAAAATATATTTTGTATAGGCCTATGGGTTTTCTTTGGAGAAGATCGGAGAAAGATATCCAAGGGGGATTACAAGTATCGAGTCAACAATGCATGCTTTCTGCAGTGCCAGAGACATTCCCAACAAGCGCTCACTTGTGTGGCCTAGGGATTATGGAGGGAGGCTCCTATCAAATTGACAAAAAAGGTTATAGTAGTTAACAGGTTACATGTTGTGTAGTTCCGGTTGTCATGCCTGATGACTGGTATATGACCTATAAAACTGCCAATGTAACAGTTGATTTGATTGGTAACAATGACTGAAAAATTAACAAGTGGTTACAGCTTTAGTAAAGTAACCCACAGTTGAATTATAAGTGGTCAGGTAAGGTGTGGCCTCTTGTCTGTGGTGGCTCAGGCTCTATGAGTGGTCAGAAATGCATCCAATCTATATTGGGTTTTTTTTTTTTAATTGTGTTGATCACTGCCTATTTTTTGAAATTTACCAAAAAAAAAAATCTCCACTCTTTGCCCCTGCCCCTTTCAGAGCCTGTACTGGCTTTTACTGCTATTGTTTTAGCTATTCACTTGTCAACTTGAGCATCAGAAGATATCAATGCCCTGACTTTTTGCAGTGATTTATTCATATTTGACTGGGCAAACATAACTCATAAGGCATAATACAAATACAAAATAAGGGTGTGTGGTGGCCTTTGAACCGATAGTGTCACATGTAAAACATAACACAAGACTCTGACTCGACGCCCCCATAGGACATGTTTCGCTCTCTTCTGGCTGGATCCTTATTGAGAAACAGTCTGCAGCAATAGGTGGAAGTGTTGTACTGTTGACTCTCAGCAACACCACAGACTACCTGAGTGTATGTTTGTACTGCAGTGCCATTAACAGTCAAAGTTTTTTCCATTTTTAGTCACTGTGCCTCCAGGATGACTAATAAAACATGATAGCTCATTGTCTGAACATGCTTCATTCACATGAAGGAGTGAATTGCGGTTGTCTAGGAAAAGCCAATTACACAACAGTAAAAAACACATTTGATTTTAGTCAGCAAATGTAGTTGGTTGCTATTTCAAGATGTCAAGAATTTTACATCAGTATCTAAGACAAACACACATCAGCTTCTGTTACTTTTGATTATTACAGATTTATTAATAGTCTGTGCTCAAATTATGGTATTTTGATCAGATTACCATAAAGCAACATGGCACTAAGAGAAGCAGCAGAGCTTCATGTGCAGTATGGCCCACTATGGGGGGATGTTGGACCCAGGCCTGTTTTCTGTCTGGTCAGTATTGTGCTTTCCTTTGCCACGTTCTTACCATATTGGCATTTGTTTAAAATCTTGTAATAGCAGGTTTAGAAATAAGTGGAATTTTTTTGGCCTATTTGCTGAAGTTTTTACACATCATGCATCTGTCCATTGCGTTTTACTGTGTGTTTGTTTAGGCCTATTATCGACAGCATCGGTGAGGCTACACCTACTTCTTTCTTTCTTTTGATCGGATGCCTATTTTGAAAGATCATGGTGTCAGCAAAGCAGCGCAGAGAGAAACAGATGAGGCCAGCCCAGAGGGCAAGGCGCGTGTGTGAGAGTAGAGTTTCATAAGTCACGGAAGTGTTATAATTGAACCTAAGAGTTCACAGATCAGTCACACAGATTGACAGCACACCCGTTTCTCACGATTTTTAAGCGTCTCCTGCAGACTATTGAGTTTTTTGGTTTTTTTTAAATTAGGGTCAAGAAGTATCCAATGCAAGTAAATCATTTTAGTTCCGTTTTGGCTAACTTTTGATTTAATGGAGAAAATGATTAAATATCTGTATTGAGGTAAATTAGTTATTACATCAGCTCTAAGTACTGGAACGTGTACAAATTACTCCACCTCATGTTTCACTTTTAGATCCTTTTTAAATCCCATATCAAAGTAATCCACTACTTTTTGTAAGTAACGAGCCCTGGCCCGCTGTGATCATGCGCATTTGTTGTCGCGCTGTCTGGCCAGCGTGAGTCTTTGGCTCCTCACCACTTTGAATCAGCGCATCTTTGCTCTGTGTGTTCAGTGACTCACTCTGCTCTGAACACCGAACAACTTTGAGGATTTAGGATTTGAGGGGCGCCCTAAACCTTTGAGATGGAGGATTTGAAAACTTCAGAGCGATTTTTACACAAGTCCTCATTCAGCATCAGCAGCCTGTTGTGGAGACGAGAGGGGGTGTCGAGTGACCAGGAGTCTCCTTCTCCGTCCCAGAAACTGCGCTCCGCACATCCAGAGAAATCCAGTGAAGAGGAAAAGTTAGACAACGAAAAGAACTTCGAGAAACCAAAACAGTGCGCTATGGTAGAGGCTAAACCGGTGACTGCGAGTGGAAAACGAGAAGGAAATAAAGGAGATTCCAAGGAAAGCGGGGGAGCAGAAGGAAGTGTTAAACCCGAAAAACCTCCTTTCAGTTACAACGCGCTCATCATGATGGCGATCCGCCAGAGCCCAGAGCGACGGCTCACACTCAACGGCATCTATGAGTTCATCATGGACAACTTCCCATACTACCGACAGAACAGACAAGGATGGCAAAATTCAATCAGGCACAACCTGAGTCTTAATAAGTGTTTCGTTAAAGTGCCGCGCCACTATGATGACCCGGGCAAAGGCAACTACTGGATGCTGGACCCCTGCAGTGAGGATGTCTTCATAGGTGGCACATCAGGGAAACTCCGGCGCAGGGCCGCATCTAGCTCCAGGGCCAAACTCGCTCTGAAAAGAGGAGGGGGTCGTCTGATGTCCTCCGGCACTGCAACCAGTGTGACCTTGGCCGCAGCGGGTTCGTTTT